GGGATGGGGATGGGGTGGGATGGGGGAGAGATGGATGGAATTCCCATCCTGGGGTAGAGGAATGGGGGTGGGATGGGGGACCCTCTCCGAGGTAGGGGAATGGGGGTGGGATGGGGGATTCCCATCCTGGGGTAGGGAATGGGAGTGGGATGGTGGAATTCCCCCAGGGATCGGGGAATGGGGGGTGGGATGGGGGACCCCAGGACCCCAGGGACCGGGACTGGAGGTAGGACCCTGGGACCCTCCGACGGAGGACTTGGGGACCGAAGGTGGGACCCCCTCAGGACCCCAGGACCGGGACTGGAGGTGGACCCCAGGGACCCCCAGTGCTGGAGGTGTGGATGGGACACTCCCTCCCCGAATCCTCCCGATACCGGAGATGGATTTGGGGTGTCCAGGACCCCCCTTTCCCCAGGACCTGACCGTGGACCCCCCGTCATTCCAGGGTGAAACCCCCGTCCCCCCTCCCAGACCACCCCATCCCAAAGCCGGGCTCATCTCCCGGGATGCAGGAGATGCTGGATTGGGGGGGATGGGGGGGAACCTCAACCCCCTCCCCGCTCCAGGCTCCATCTGGTGCCGGTTCCGGCTCTTCCCGTTCCCACTCGGGAAGTTTTTATTTTTTGGGGGGGGGAAGAACAAGTGAGGGAATTGCGGCGGCGGCTCCGGAGCCCTCCCGGCAGCTCCGGCCTCATTAAGGGGCGTTAATTGATGCACAGGAGGCTCGGCAGATGGTCGGGACTGGGGGAGACGGGGAGGGATGATTTCCTTCCTTCCTTCCTTCCTTCCTCCCTCCCTCCTCTTCCTCCCTCCCCCGAGGGATGGGGAGCAGCTGGAAGTTGGAATTCCCAGCTGGGATCTCCCCCTTTCCACCCCCTGGAGCAGAGGCTGGAGCCTGGATCCCCCTCCCAGCATCACTTTTCCCACCTCCTGGAATCTTTTCCCATCTCCTAGAATCTTTTTCCACCTCCTGGAATCTTTTCCCACCTCTTGGAAGCCTTTTCCCTTTCCTGGAGGCTTTTCCCCTTTCCTGGAAGCTTTTCCCCTTTCCTGGAATCTTTTCCCACCTCCTGGGTGGTTTTCCTGCTTCTTGGAAGCTTTTCCCTCTCCTGGAGACTTTTCCCATCTCCTGGAAGTTTTTCCCAGCCCCTGGAAGTTTTTCCCAGCTCCTGGAAGCTTTTCCCAGCTCCTGGAGGCAATTCCTGGCTTCCCAATGAATCCACTGCTCTGTAATCCCCCTTTTCCCCCTGGATATTCCCGGGGGTGCCGACCCCGCCGTGCCGGAATCTTTTCCGGAGGGGAGGGGGTGTGGAAAATTGGGATGAGTCACCCACGGCCACTGGAAATGATTGGAAATGATTCACTGGCTGGAATCAGCCCGGGAAGGGGGGTTGGGAAGGAAATCCCAACCCCCGGGAATAGCAGGGACAGCTCTGCCCAACCCCCGGGATGGGATGGGATGGGATGGGATGGGATGGGATGGGATGGGATGGGATGGGTTGGGATGGGATGGGATGGGATGGGATGGGATGGGATGGGATGGGGTGGGATGGGATGGGATGGGATTGATGGGATGGGATGGGATTGATGGGATGGGATTGATGGGATGGGATGGGATGGGATGGGATGGGATTGATGGGATGGGATGGGATTGATGGGATGGGATGGGATTGATGGGATGGGATGGGATGGGATGGGATGGGATGGATGGGATGGGATGGGATGGGTTGGGATGGGATGGGGTGGGATGGGATGGGATGGGATTGATGGGGTGGGATGGGATGGGATGGATGGATGGGATGGGATGGGTTGGGATGGGATGGGGTGGGATGGGATGGGATGGGATGGGATGGGATTGATGGGATGGGAGGGGATGGGATGGGATGGGATGGGATTGATGGGATGGGATGGATGGGATGGGATCCAATGCTATTCTATCCCATTCCAATCATCCTATCCCATTCCAATAACCCAGTGCCATCCCATCCCATCCCATCCCATCCCATCCCATCCCCCGGTTTGGGGTCTAAAGTTGAGGGTCCCTTTTTTTTTTTGGGGAGTGTGTCCCAATAACATCAGTCCTGGTTTTTAGGGGTGTCCTAAAGTTGGGGTCCCGACTTTTTGGGGATGGAGGTCCTAAAGTTGGGGGTCCCGACTTTTTGGGGGGTCCTGGTGACGTTTGAAGTGTGGGGGTGGGAGTTGATTTTTAGGAGGGCCCGGCCCCATTTCGACCCCCACTTGTCCCCACTTTGTGTCCCCCCTTCCCCCCAGGTCGGAGGCTGAGAACGGCTCGTGGGGGGTCTCGGAGCCCCCGGCCCCCGGGCAGTCCGGCCGGGGTCTCCAGGCCGGGCCCCCGGGGCAGCGCCGCGAGTCCTTCCTGTACCGCTTCGGGCAGCGACCTCGGCACCCCCGCGGCACCTCCCGGAACTCCTCCCTGGCCAGCGAGCCGTGAGTGCCGACCCCTCCCCAAAATAAACCCCCGGAATCCCCTCAGAGCTTCCAGAACCCCCGGAACCCCCAACCCCCACAGAACCCCCCGGGCATCTCGAGCACCCTAATAACCCCCAATATCCCAAATTTCCTCCCCTGATAGACCCCAATCCTCCAAAAATCTCCCTCAGAAAATCCCCCAGTATCCCAAATTATCCCCCAAATCCCCTGATCCCTCCCAATATCCCCTTATCAGTCCCAACATCCCCCGATCCCTCCCAATACTCCCCAGTATCCCAAATATCCCCAATAACCCCCAAATCCCCTCAATTTCCCCAAATCCTAATATCCCCAATATCCCCAATAATCCCCCAAAATCCCCCAATTTCCCCAAATCTCCCAATTCCCCCAAATCTCCAATCCCCCAAATCTTCCCAATCCCCCAAATCTCCCAATCCCCCAAATCCCCCCAAAACCTGCCCAGTCCCCCATTAATCAGCTCCACATCCCCCGGGACCCCCCAATATCCCCTCAGGGCATTCCCCCCCGCTATGGGGGGTGGAGTGGTCTCAAAGACCCCTCCCCATCTTTTACTCCCCCCCTCCTCCCCAAATTTCCCTTCCAGCCACGGCGAGGAGTTCATCGTCACCCCTTCGCCCAGGTACGGCTTTGGGGGGTCAGGAGAGTCCCGGAGGTCCAGGGGGTCTCCAGGGTGTCCCCTCTCGATGGACCCCGACCCCCGGGACCCCTCCCCCAGGTCCTGGCGAGTCTCCGCAGCGTCCGCAGCAGCTTCGCCCTCCTGGCCAAACCCCCGCCCCCGGCACCACGTGCGTGACCTTTGACCCCGCCCCACACCCCCGCCTCATTTCGGGGGGTCCTGACCCTTCCCTTGCCCCTCCCCACCCTCCCTCCCTCCCCCCTCAGGAGGTCGCCCGTGGTCTCCCAACCCCGGGCGAGGGCCGCGCTCTCAGGTAAATTGGGGGGGATTGGGGAGCTTTGGGAGGGTCTTGAGGGTTTTTGGGAGGATTTGGTTGGGGGAGGGTAAGAGAGTCCCACTGGGGAAACTGAGGAGGGAGGGGCCCCAGTTCCCTGGGGGTCCTGCATGTCCCCACCCCCAACATTCCTGGGGTCCCCAAAGCTCCAAGGGGTCCCTGTCCCGTGTCCCTGGGGGTCCCCAGGGGTCCCTGCGTGTCCCCCCACCCCCTCTTCATCCTTGGGGTCCCCAAAGCCCCAGGGGGTCCCTGTGCCTGGGGGTCCCCAGGGGTCCCTGCATGTGCCCCCAATTCCTGGGGTCCCCAAAGCCCTGGGGGTCCCTGTCCCCTGTCCCCAAGGGGTCTCTGTCCCCCCAGCCCCTCCCCCATCCTCAGGGGGTCCCCATCCCCTCCCCCATCCCAGGGGGGGTCCCCCAGCCCCTCCCCCATCATGGGGGGTGGGCTCTGACCCCCCCCCCAGAGGAGGTGCTGGAGGAGCTGGATTGGTGCCTGGAGCAGCTCGAGACCCTCCAGACACACCGGGCTGTCAGTCACATGGCCACCAGCAAGGTGGGCACACTGGGGACACTGGGGACACCATGGGGACACTGGGGATACTGGGGACACCATGGGGACACTGGGGGACAGCTGGGGACATGGGGGACACCATGGGGACAGCTGGGGACATGGGGGGACACTGGGGACACTGTGGGGACACTGGGGACATGGGGACAGGAGGGGGACACTGGGGACATGGGGGGAACATGGGGGGACACTGAGACATGGGGGGGACACTGGGGACATGGGGGACATGGGAACAGGAGGGGGACACCGTGGGGACACCCTGGGGTGTGTTGGGGTGTTGGTGACACCGGTCATGTTGGTAACACCGGTGGTGGCAGTGGCTGCGTTGGGGTGACACTGGTGACACTGGTGACATTGGTGACACTGGTGGTGGTGGCAGTGGCTGTGCTGGGGTGTTGGTGACACCACTGGTGACACTGGTGGTGACATTGGTGACACTGGTGACACTTGGTGGTGGCAGTGGTGACACTGGTGACACCATTGGTGACACTGTGGTGGTGACACTGGTGGTGGCACTGGTGGCACTGGTGACACTGGTGACACTGGTGGTGGCACTGGTGGTGACACTGTGATGGTGGCACTGGTGACACTGGTGACACTGGTGACATTGGTGACACTGGTGGTGGCACTGGTGGTGGCACTGGTGGCACTGGTGGCACTGGTGACACTGGTGGTGACACTGGTGGTGGCACTGGTGGTGGCACTGGTGGCACTGGTGGCACTGGTGACACCATTGGTGACACCGTGGTGGTGGCACTGGCTCGTTGTGCCCTTGGTGACCCCCCTGGCCCTTTTGGGGTGACCCTGGGGTGGGGGAGGGGCCGGGGCGGGGTTTTGGGGAGGGTCGAGGGGGATGGGTGGTTTTTTGGGGGAGGGGCGGAGCCAAACTCCGCGCAGGCGTTTTCGGCCCCTCCCCCTCCCCTCCCCCTCCCGTCCTTTCGCTCCGCGGCCTCTGCAGCCACCGGCGGACCCCAACCCCCGCAACGCCGGGACCCCCAGGGGCTCCCAAAACCCAGCACGACCCCTCCCCTCTTCCTCCTCCGCGACCCTCCCCTTCCGCGACCCTCCCTCCCCCAATTCCGCATCCTCCGCATCTCCCTCCATCCCTGCCCCTCCCCCGCCCCCCCGCCGCGCATCCCCCGCAGGACCCCCGAGGACCCTTCAGGACCCCCAGGACCTCCCTCCCCCCATCTCCCCCTCCCCTCCATCTCCGCGTCCTTTTGCCCTCCCCTCCCCTCCACGGCGCATCCCCCACCTCACGACCCCTCCAGGACCCCCTGAACCCCCGATCCCCTCCAGGACCCCCTCAGGACCCCCTGATCCCCTCTAGGACCCCTCAGGACCCCCCATCCTCCCCCTCCCCCTCCATCCTCGCGTCCTTTTGCCCCTCCCCCTCAATGGGCCCCCACTGACCCCCCTCATCCCGGACCCCCAAAAAACCAAACCCCGCGGGGAGGGGGAGGGGCAGGCGATGATGAGACCCCCCGCCCCGTGCCCTTTCCACGCGTGGGAGGGGAGAGTCGTGGGGGAGGGCTCCCAACCTCGCGGGGGGTTTGAGGTGGGGGTCCTCTCTCTCCCCTCCCCAAAAACCCCACCATGCCCAGCGCGCCCCCCGCGCCCCCTCCCAATTTGAGAGGGGTTAGTGGGAGTCTCCCCCAAAAAATCCGGTTCCTCCGGCGGGAGGAGGGTGAGGAAGGAGGGGTTGGGGAGGAGGGGTCCACGACCCCCAAAAAAACCCGCGTGGGGAAAATGCCCTTGGTGGATTTTTCTGCGAGAGCTGCGCGAGGCCCCGGCTCGTGGGGTGGTGGGACCAGGTAAGGGGGTCACGGGGAGGGGACACACCCACCCTGGGGGCTCTGACACCCCACCCCCACACCAGGGTCATGGAAACCCCCGGAGCGATTTTGGGGTCAAACCCCTGTCCTTTCCCTCCCCCTCTCCTGGTTTTGGGGAGGGGCTTTATTTGGGGGGGTGGGGGAGGGGCTCCTCCTCCATTTTCAGGTTTTTTTGGGGGGGGGTCTGTTGTGGTTTTTTTTGGGGGGGTCTGTTGTGGTTTGGGGGGTCTGTTGTGTTTTTTGGGGGGAATCTGTCATTTTGGGGGGGGTGGTTGCCATGGAGATGGGACAGAGGGTCCTGATTGGCTGAGGGGGGGGGGTGTCTATCCCCCCCAAAAATTTGGGGGGGGGGAGTGACCTCCCAGTGTCACCAGTGACCTCCCAGTGTCACCAGTGTCCCCCCATCCCAGTTCCCTCCTGTCCCAGTCCATCCCATCCCCGTCCCAGTCCATCCCAGTCCATCCCATCCCCATCCCAGTCCATCCCAGTCCATCCCAGCCCCATCCCAGCCCCATCCCAGCCCCATCCCAGCCCATCCCAGCCTATCCCCGTCCATCCCAATCCCATCCCAGTCCCATCCCAGTCCATCCCACTCCCATCCCAGTCCATCCCAATCCCATCCCAGTCCATCCCAGTCCATTCCAATCCATCCCAGTCCCATCCCAGTCCATCCCAGTCCATCCCAGTCCCTCTGCAGAAGATCCTGAGGTCGAGGGGGTCTGGGAGTGGTTCAGAGTGGTCTGGGGGGTTCAGGAGGGTCTGGGGGTGTTCAGGGGTCTGGGGTGTCTAGTGGTTCAGGGGGTCTGGGGGTTCAGGGGTCTGGGGTTGTTCAGGGGGTCTGGGGGGTTTGGGGTGGTTCAGAGGGGTCTGGGGTTGTTCAGGGGTGTCTGGGGTGGTTCAGGGGGTCTGGGGGTTCAGGGGTCTGGGGGGGTTCAGGAGGGTCTGGGGGTGTTTGGGGTGGTTCAGGGGGTTCAGGGGGTCTCACCCCCAACCCCCAGTTCAAGCGGATGCTGAACCGGGAGCTGTCCCACCTGTCCGAGATGAGCCGCTCTGGGAACCAGGTGTCGGAGTTCATCGCCAGCACCTTCCTGGGTGAGACCCCCACGGACCCCGGGACCCCAGGGATGCCCAGAGACCCCTGGGATACCCACAGAGCCCCCAGGACCCCCAGGGACACCCCTATCCCCATTGACAGCCTGGGACCCCGAGGAGCCCCCCAGGTCACCCCAGGACAACCCAGGAAGCCCAGAGACCTCCCCAGGATCCCCCACTGACAGCCCGAGACCCCCAGAGACACTCAGGGACCCCCACTGACAGCCTGGGACCCCCAGAGCCCCCTCGTGACAGCCCAGGATACCCAGAGACCCCAGAGACCCCCAAGCCCATCTGGGACCCCAGAGCCCTCTGAGACCCCCCAAATCCCCCTGAGCCATCAGGGCCCCCAAAGCCCATAGAGGCCCCTCTGAGACCATCTGAGACCCCCACCCAAATCCCACCGAGCCATCAGGGACCCCAGAGACCCTCTGAGACCCCCCAAATCCCCCTGAGCCATCAGGACCCCCAAATCCCCCTCTTTTGCCCCCTCCCCATTCCAGACAAGCAGCCCGAGGTGGAGATCCGAGCCCGGGACCCCTGAGCGGGAGAGGCCCTGGGGGCCCTCTGGGGGTGGGGGGTTGGTGGGGAGGTCTGACCCTCCCCTGCCCCTCCCCTCCCCCCGGGCGGGCCCCCGGCCCTGCCGCGATTCGGGTCGAGACCGACCGGGAGGAGCTGCTGGGCAAGGTGAGGGCATGGGGGGTCTGGGGAGGGGTTCTGGTGTTTGGGGGTCCCCACTGGACCCCTCCCACCCCCAACCCTGACCCCCTCCCAAATTCCTCCCCAACCCCTCAAGGAGCTCGACAGCCTCAACAAGTGGGGCCTGAACATCTTCCGGGTGTCCGAGTTCTCCAACAACCGCTCCCTGAGCTGCATCATGTACACCATCTTCCAGGTGAGACCCCAGGGACCCCCAAATCACCCCCAAAACACCCCCAAAACCCCCAAACCCCCAAATCACCAGGGACCACCCAAAACCCCTGAGACCCCAAAACCCCTAGGGACCCACCAAAATCCAACAACCACTCCTGAGCTGCATCATGTACACCATCTTCCAGGTGAGACCCCCAAAACCCCCTGAGACCCCCAAATCACAGCCCCCAAAACACCCCCAAAACACCCCCAAATCACCAGGAGCCCCACCCAAGGACCACCCAAAACCTCCGGGACCCACCAAAATCCAACAACCGCTCCTGAGCTGCATCATGTACACCATCTTCCAGGTGAGACCCCCTGAGACCCCCTGAGACACCCCCAAAACACCCCCAAAATACCCCCAAAACCCCAAAACACTGGGACCCCCAAAACCCCTGAGACCACCCAAACCTCCTGAGACCCACCAAAATCCAACAACCGCTCCCTGAGCTGCATCATGTACACCATCTGCCAGGTGAGACCCCCAGGGACCCCCCAGGACCCCCCAAAACACCCCCAAATCACCCCCAAAACATCAGGGACTCCCCAACCCCCCCCCTTAGCTATTTGGGTGCCCCCATGGACTCTTGGGGTCCCCAGGAGCAGATGTTTGGGATCCTGGGCTTTTTGGGGTCTCCCATAGATATTTTGGTTCCCCCATGGATATTTTGGGATATTTTGGGTTCCCCCATGGGTATTTTGGGTCCCCCATGGATATTTTGGGTTCCCCATGGATATTTTGGGTCCCCCATGGATGTTTTGGGTTATTTTGGGTCCCCCATGGATATTTTGGGTCCCCCATGGATATTTTGGGTCCCCCATGAATATTTTGGGATATTTTGGATCCCCCATGGATATTTTCGGTTATTTTGGGTTCCCCCATGGATATTTTGGGTCTCCCATGGCTGTTTTTGCCCCCCAGGAGCGGGACCTGGTGCGGACGTTCGGGATCCCGGAGCGGGCCCTGCTGGGCTACGCGCGGGCTCTGGAGCAGCATTATCACCCTGACGTGGCTTATCACAACAGCCTGCACGCTGCTGACGTGCTGCAGTCCACACACGTGCTGCTGGACACTCCTGCTCTTCATGTGAGACCCCATAAACCATAGATACCCTAAAAACATCACAGACCCCATAGATCCCACAGATACCCCTGACGTGGCTATCACAACAGCCTGCACACTGCTGACGTGCTGCAGTCCACCCACGTGCTGCTGGACACCCCTGCTCTACATGTGAGACCCCATAAACCCTACAGACCCCATAGATACCCCAAAAACACCTCAGATACCCCACAGACCCCACACACCCCACACACCCCTGACATGGCTATCACAACAGCCTGCACGCTGCTGATGTGCTGCAGTCCACACACGTGCTGCTGGACACCCCTGCTCTTCATGTGAGACCCTACAGACCCCATAGATACCCCACAGATACCCCAAAACCACCACAGATACCCCACAGACATCCCACAGACCCCACAGACACCCAGCATGGGCTGCAGTCCACCCACGTGCTGCTGGACACCCCTGCCCTGCATGTGAGACCCCACAGACACCCCAAAAACACCCCAGATACCCCACAGACACCCCACACACCCCACAGATACCCCAAAGACACCCCAAAAACACCTCAGATACCCCACGGACACCACAGACCCCACAGACACCCAGCACGTGCTGCAGTCCACACACGAGCTGCTGGACACCCCTGCCCTGCATGTGAGACCTCACAGACCCTACAGATACCCCTAAAACACCTCAGATACCCCACAGACCCCACAGATACCCCACAGACCCCACACACGCCCCCGGCATGGGCTGGGCAGGGGTCTCATTGCAGGGACCCGATTTAAGGGGGGGTGGGTGTGATTTTGGGGGTGTGGGCCCCGTTTGGGGGTTCTGGGCCCCATTTTGGGGGTTCTGGGCCCCATTTTGGGGGTTCTGGACCCCATTTGGGGGTTCTGGACCCCGTTTTGTGGTTCTGGGCCCCATTTCAGGGTTCTGGGCCCCGTTTCGGGGGCAGGCTCTGAGGGCTGTGCCCCCCAGGCCGTGTTCACCGACCTGGAGGTTCTGGCCGCCCTTTTCGCCGCTGCCATCCACGACGTCGACCACCCCGGCGTGTCCAACCAGTTCCTCATCAACACCAGTGAGTGGGGGGGGACCTCCCCACAAAGAGGGACCCCCCAAATTGGGACCCCCCAAATTGGGACCCCTCAAATGGGGCCCCCCCAAAGAGGGACCTCCAAAACAAGGACCCCGACATGTGAGACCCCCCCAAACGGGGCCCCCCCAAACGGGGACCCCCCAAAAAGGGACCCCCTCAGACAGAGACCCCCCAAACAGGGACCCCCCAAATGGGGACCCCCCAAACGAGGACCTCCTCAGACAGAGACCCCCCAAACAGGGACCCCCCAAATGGGGACCCCCCAAAGGGGGACCCCTCAAACAGGGACCCCTCAAACAGGGACCCCCCAAATGGGGACCCCCCAAAGAGGGACCCCTCAAAGAGGGACCCCCCAAATGGGGACCTCCCAAACAGGGACCCCTCAAACTGGGACCCCCCCAAATGGGGACCCCTCAGACAGAGACCCTCCAAACAGGGACCCCCCAAAGAGGGACCCCTCAAACAGGGACCCCTTAAACAGGGACCCCCCCAAAGAGGGACCCCTCAAACAGGGCCCCCCCAAACGGGGCCCCCCAAAACGGGGACCCCCCAAAAAGGGGGTGTCCCAGCCCGGGGGTCCCTCTCGGTGTCCTGGGGGTCCCTCCCTGTGTCCCTTGGGGGGGTCCCTCCCTGTGTCCTGGGGTCCCTCCTGTGTCCCTTGGGGGTCCCTCCTGTGTCCTGGGGGTCCTCTCCTGTGTCCTGGGGGTCCCTCTCAGTGTCCCTGGGGGTCCCTCCCTGTGTCCCTTGGGGGGGTCCCTCCCTGTGTCCTGGGGGTCCCTCTTGGTGTCCCAGCCCGGGGGTCTCTCCCTGTGTCCTGGGGGTCCCTCTCGGTGTCCCCAGGGGGTCCCTCCCTGTGTCCTGGGGGTCCCTCTCGGTGCCCCCAGGGGGTCTCTCCCTGTGTCCCTTGGGGGTCTCTCCCTGTGTCCCTTGGGGTTCTCTCCCTGTGTCCTGGGGGTCCCTCCCTGTGTCCTGGGGGTCCCTCCCTGTGTCCTGGGGGTCCCTCCCTGTGTCCTGGGGGTCCCTCCCTGTGTCCTGGGGGTCCCTCTCGGTGTCCCTGGGGGTCCCTCCCTGTGTCCTGGGGGTCCCTCCCTGTGTCCTGGGGGTCCCTCTCGGTGTCCTGGGGGCCCCTCTCAGTGTCCCCAGGGGGTCCCTGCCATGTCCCCCCCAGACTCGGAGCTGGCCCTGCTCTACAACGACGAGTCTGTGCTGGAGAACCATCACTTGGCCGTCGGCTTCAAACTCCTCCAGGAGAGCGGCTGCGACATCTTCCAGAGCCTGTCCCGGCGCCAGCGCCAGGCCCTGCGCCGCATGGTCATCGACATGGTCAGAGAGCATGAAAACCACCCAAAACACCCCAAAAACACCCCTGAAACCCCCAAAAACACCCCCCAAAACCCCCCTTGCACCGCATGGTCATCGACATGGTCAGGGAGCCCCAAAAACCACCCCAAAAACACCCCTGAAACCCCCAAAACCACTCCTGAAACCCCCAAAACCACCCTTGAAACCCTCCCTGCACTGCATGGTCATCGACATGGTCAGGGAGCACAAAAACCACCCCAAAACCACCCCAAAACACCCCTGAAACTCCCCAAAACACCCCAAAACCATCCCTATGCTGCATGGTCATTGACATGGTCAGGGACCCCAAAAACACACCCTGAAACCCCCAAAACACCCCCCAAAACCGCCCCTGTGATGCATGGTCATCGACATGGTCAGGGAGCCCCAAAAACCACCCCAAAACACCCCCAAAACCACCCCTGAAACCTCCCCTGTGCTGCATGGTCATCGACATGGTCAGGGAGCACAAAACCCACTCAAAAACACCCCGAAAACCACCCCAAAACACCCCCAAACTACCCCTGAAACCCTCCCTGTGCCGCATGATCATCAACATGGTCAGGGAGCACAAAAACCACCCACAAACACGCCTGAAACTCCCCAAAACACCCCCCAAAACCACTCCTGTGCTGCATGGTCATCAGCATGGTCAGGAACCCTAAAAACCACCCCAAAACACCCCCAAAACACCCCAAAACACCCCCCAAAACTGCCCTTGTGCTGCATGGTCATCGACATGGTCAGGGAGCCCAAAAACACCCTGAAATACCCCAAAAATACCCCCAAAACCACTCCTGCACCGCATGGTCATCAACATGGTCAGGGACCCCAAAAACCACCCAAAAACACCCCCTGAAACCCCCAAAACACCCCCCAAAACCGCCCCTGTGCTGCATGGTCATCGACATGGTCAGGGACCCCAAAACCACCCCAAAACACCCCCAAAACACCCCAAAACCACCCCTGAAACCCCCCCTGCGCTGCATGGTCATCGACATGGTCAGGGACCCCAAAAACCAACCCAAAACACCCCTGAAACCCCCAAAAACACCCCTGAAACCCCCCCTGTGCTGCATGGTCATCGACATGGTTGGGGACCCCCCAAAAACCACCCAAAACCACCCCAACCCCCCCCAAACGGTCCTTGCCGTGATCAGTGACCCCAACTCCCCCCCCAATCCCCGTTTTGGGGTCCCCCTGACCCATAACCCCCCAGGTCCTGGCCACCGACATGTCCAAGCACATGACCCTCCTGGCCGACCTCAAGACGATGGTGGAGACCAAGAAGGTGACGAGCTCGGGGGTCCTGCTGCTCGACAACTACACCGACCGCATCCAGGTGGGGGGACCCCAAAAACGGGGGCTTGGGGGGCCCTGGGAGTCTGGAGGATCCCCACGAGGGTCCTGGGGAGGGCAGGGGGTGGGGGGTTGTTGGGGTCTCCAGGAGTTGTTTGGGAGGGGTCTGGGGGTGGGGGATGTTTTGGGGTGTCCTGGGGGATCCTCAGCCTGGGCTTTGGGGGGTTCCTGAGGATCCTGAAGGTCCTGGAGTGGGTGGGGGGTGGTCCTGGAGGCTCCACGGGGTCCCCAAAAGGGTCTGGGGGCACCCAGAGTGGTCCCCAAGCAGTGCTGGGGGAGGGGGTGTGAGGAGTCCTTGGGGGATCTGGGGGTGTCCAGGGCTGGGGGGGAGGTCTCAAGGGGTCCCCAAACCATGCTGGGGGCAGGGGGTCCCATGAACCCCAGGGAGGTCTGGGGTGGGAGTTTTTAGGGGTGCCCAGTGGGGTGACCCCAAAGGGAACCCCCCAAGCCGTGCTGGGAGGGTGTCCCATGAGCCTTGGGGGGGCCTGGGGTGGGTGTTTTTAGGGGTGACCCCAAAGAGAACCCTCCAAGCTGTGCTGGGGTTGTCCCAGGAGCCTTGGGGAGGTCTGGGGTGGGGGTTTTTAGGGGTGACCCCAAAGGGAACCCTCCAAGCTGTGCTGGGGGTGTCCCAGCAGCCTGGGAGGGGTCTGGGGGTGTCCCAGCAGCCCGGGGGGGTCTGGGGGTGTCCCAGCAGCCCCGGGGGGGGTCTGGGGTGACCCTGCCGTGTCCCCCCCGGGCAGGTGCTGCGGAACATGGTGCACTGCGCCGACCTGAGCAACCCCACGAAGCCGCTGGCCCTGTACCGGCAGTGGACGCGGCGCATCATGCGCGAGTTCTTCCGCCAGGGAGACCGGGAGCGGGAGCGGGGCATGCAGATCAGCCCCATGTGCGACAAACACAGCGCCTCCGTGGAGAAATCACAGGTGGGACACCCAGGGGCAGGGGCACCTGAGGGCAGGACCAGGAATGGGGATGCAGACAGCCCATGCGACAAACACAGCGCCTGTGGAGAATCACAGGTGGGGGACACCTAGGGGCACCCAGGGCAGGGGCACCTGAGGGCAGGGGACTGGGGGCATGCAGATCAGCCCCATGTGCGACAAGCACAGCGCCTCCGTGGAGAAATCACAGGTGGGGGGACACCCCAGGGGCAGGGGGGACACCCAGGGGACACCTGAGGGAGGGGGACACCTGGGGGCAGGGGGGACCAGGAATGGGGGATGCAGATCAGCCCCATGTGCGACAAACACAGCGCCTCCGTGGAGAAATCACAGGTGGGGGACACCCCAGGGGACACCTCGGGGGCAGGGGGGACACCTCGGGGACAGGGGTGACACCCCAGGGGCAGGGGGGACACCCCAGGGGCAGAGGGGACACCCCAGGGACAGGGGGGACACCTGAGGGGCAGGGGGGACACCCCAGGGGCAGAGGGGACACCCCAGGGACAGGGGGGACACCTGAGGGGCAGGGGGGACACCTGAGGGGACACCTGAGGGGCAGGGGGGACCGGGAATGGGGCATGCAGATCAGCCCCATGTGCGACAAGCACAGCGCCTCTGTGGAGAAGTCACAGGTGGGGGAACATCTGAGGGGACACCTGAGGGACAGGGGGGACACCCCAGGGGCAGAGGGGACACCCCAGGGGACACCTGAGGGACGGGGGGACACCCCAGGGGTAGAGGGTACCGGGAACGGGGCATGCAGATCAGCCCCATGTGCGACAAGCACAGTGCCTCCGTGGAGAAATCACAGGTGGGGGGACACCTGAGGGACAGGGGAGACACCTGAGGGGACACCTGAGGGACAGGGGGGACACCTCGGGGACAGGGGGGACACCCCAGGGGAGGGGGGACACCTGAGGGGAGGAGGAGACACAGGGGGACACGGGGACACGCACTGGGATATGGGGATGCAGGGGGATATGGGGACACAGGGACACATCCAGGGATGTGGGGGGGGATAGGGGAGGACATGAGGGACACATCCAGGGCCTTGGGGGGACAGGATGGACGTGGGGGATGCACAGGGGGCAGGGGAACACTGGGGACATGGGGGGCACACCAAGGGACATGGAAATATTGGGGGTGCACCCAGGGACATGGGGGGCACACCAAGGGACATGGGGACATGGGGGGCACACGGGAGAGGAGGATAGGGGGGAATATGGGATGTGTGTCCCCTGGGTGTGTCCCCCTCCACCTTGTCCCAGATGGGTGTCCCTGTCCCCTGTCCCAGGTGGGTGTCCCTGTCCCTGATGGGTGTCCCAGGTGGGTGTCCCTGTCCCAGGTGGGTGTCCCTGTCCCAGGTGGGTGTCCCAGGTGGGTGTCCCTGTGTCCCAGGTGGGTGTCCCCGGGTCCCCAGGTGGGTGTCCCTGTGTCCCAGGTGGGTGTCCCCGTGTCCCCTGTCCCAGGTGGGTGTCCCCTGTCCCAGGTGGGTGTCCCTGTCCCAGGTGGGTGTCCCTGTCCCAGGTGGGTGTCCCCGTGTCCCCTCACCCCCCCCCTGCCCCGTGTCCAGGTGGGTGTCCCAGGTGGGTGTCCCTGTCCCAGGTGGGTGTCCCTGTCCCAGGTGGGTGTCCCTGATGGGTGTCCCTGGTGGGTGTCCCTGTCCCAGGTGGGTGTCCCTGTCCCAGGTGGGTGTCCCAGGTAGGTGTCCCAGGTGGGTGTCCCTGTCCCAGGTGGGTGTCCCAGGTGGGTGTCCCAGGTGGGTGTCCCTGTGTCCCCTGACCCCCCTGTGTCCCAGGTGGGTGTCCCTGTGCCAGGTGGGTGTCCCTGTCCCAGGAGGGTGTCCCTGTCCCAGGTGGGTGTCCCTGTCCCTGATGGGTATCCCAGGTGGGTGTCCCTGTGTCCCAGGTGGGTGTCCCTGTGTCCCCTCACACACCCCCCTGCCCCGTGTCCAGGTGGGTGTCCCTGATGGGTGTCCCAGGTGGGTGTCCCAGGTAGGTGTCCCAGGTAGGTGTCCCTGTCCCAGGTGGGTGTCCCAGGTGGGTGTTCCTGTCCCAGGTGGGTGTCCCTGTCCCAGGTGGGTGTCCCTGTGTCCCCTGACCCCCCCGTGTCCCACCCCGCCCTGTCCAGGTGGGCTTCATCGACTACGTGGTGCAGCCGCTGTGGGAGACGTGGGCGGACCTGGTGCACCCGGACGCGCGGGAGATGCTGGAGACGCTGGAGGAGAGCCGGGAGTGGTTCCAGCGCCGCGTCCCCAGCCCGAGCGGACCCCCGGCACCCCGCCCCGCCCCCGCGCTTCCGCTTGACCCCCCCGCCCGAGGACGGCCACGAGGAGGGATGAGGATGAGGATGAGGATGATGATGATGATGACGATGAAGGCTGGGACCACCCCTGCTGTCACCTGGGACCCCCGGCGTCCCCGCAGCCCCAGGACCCCCAGCGCAGCCCCAGGAGACCCCCGAGGAGGAGGGGAGGAGGAGGAGGATGAAGATGAGGAGGGGGGGTGGGATTGGGGACCCCCCCCCCGAGGAGGGTAGGAGCAGAGAATTCCCGAATTCCGGAATTCCAGAATTCCGTCCTTTTCCTCCGTCCCACCAGAATTAATCCCTTGGATTTTTTTTTTTTTTTTATTTTTTATTTAATTTTATTTTTATCAGGATTGTTTTTATCGGAATTGGTTTTATTTGGATTATTTTAATCGGGATTATTTTTATTGGGATTGTTTTTATTGGGACTGTTTTATTTGGAATTATTTTTTTGGGGGGTATTATTTTTATCAGTATTATTTCTATCAATATTATTTTTATCAGGATTATTTTTATTGGGATTGTGTTTGGTTATTTTGTTTGGGTTTTTTTTTCAACCAGGGGTTGTTTTCAGCAGAGCTGTTTCTGTCAGGGGTTGTTTTGAAATCATCAGGGTTATTTTATTTGGGGTCATTTTCAGAGGAATTGTGTTTATTTGGGGTTATTTCATCAGAGTTTTTTTTTTTTCAGCAGAATCGTATTTATTGGGATTATTTTATCAGGATTATTTTAATCAGTTTTATTTTCAGCTGAATTATTTTTTTACTGTTTTATCAGAGATAGTTTCAGTAGAATTGTATTTATTGGAATTATTTTTATGGGGGTTAATTTATCAGTATTGTTTTACAAGGGTTATTTTGACTGGTTTTATTTTTAGATGAATTATTTTTATTGGGATTGTTTTATTGTTGGTTTTTTTCACCAGAATCGTATTTATTGGGATTGTTTTTATCAGGATTGTTTTCATCAGAACTGTTTTATCAGGATTATTTTATTGGGGTTATTTTAACTGGGTTTATTTTCAGCTGAATTATTTTTTTATTGGGATTATTTTATCAGAGTTATTTTCAGCAGAACTATTTTATCATCGGGATTATTTCAATTTGGTTTTAATTTCAGATGAATTATTTTTTATTGGGATTTATTTTTATTGGGATTTATTTTTATTGGGATTTATTTTTACCAGGATTTTTTTATCAAAGGAGCCCTTTTGGGGGTTTATTGGGATCGTTTTGATTTGGGTTAATTTGGGGGGGGGGGAGTTTTTATTCTATTTTTTAAAAAACTCGAAAAGACACCAAAAAAAAAAAAAAGATGGAAAATTGACCTTTCCCCCCCCCCAAAAGGAGAGAACAGGGAATGGGGACCCCCCTCCCCCCCAGGAAAAAGGGGGACCCTCCAAAATAAATTGGAGGATCCCAAAAAGTCCCCCCCAAAAGCCATTTAATTTATGGGGGGATTTGGGAGTCGAGGGGGTTCAGGATTTGGGGGGACACACACAGAGCCCCCCTCCCCAAATTTTGAGGGGGGCTCATCCCCCTCCCCCAAAATCTTCCTCTCACTCCCCAGTTTTGCACAGGGACACCCCCCACCCCCTAATTGTGCCCCCAGGAGAGCCCCCAAAGCCCCAGGGGTCTCTGCCCAGAAGGAGAGGCCAGGCCATAATGGGGGTCTCCCCCTCCCAAAATCCCCTGGAAGTGAAGCAATAACCAGGAGCCCCCAAATCTTTGGGAAGGGGGGTTTGAGGGGATCTGGGGGACGTCAGACCCCCCAAAAACAGCTGTTTCTTTTTTGGGGGGTCCTAATTTCTGACTGTACTGTAGCAGGGGGGTCACCCCAGGTTGGGAGGGGGGCACGGCCGAGGACGTGCAATGGTGCTGGGGAGGTTTTGGGGTGGGGGTCCGTGGGGACCTGACCCCCCTCCCCAAATCCGGGCAGGGGAGGGCTGTGACGTGGCCTTTGTAGCGGCGGGAAATGGGGGTCGTGCAGAGCTTTTATTTTTGTAACGCGGGGCGTCGCTGTAAATACTGTGAATAGTCCGGGGGGGTAAAGGGGAATCCCCTCCCTCGCCCCAAAAACCTCCCAGGGGTCCTCCCCACCCCCACCCCCTCCTGTCACCCCTTCTCCCGCCATCAGCTCCAATAAAGAGGAGAAGGGACTCGCTCTAGGGGGGTCTCAGGGAGGTTATGGGGTGAGGGGGTTATGGGGTGTGCAGGGGGTCTGGGGTGTGGGGGGTCTGTTATGGGGTGTCTTTGGGGGGGTCTCTGAAGGGGTGTCTGTGATGGGGAGTGTTTCTGATGGGGAGTGCTGAGGGGTTTGGGGGTGTCTCCTCTTGGGGGGGTCCTGGGGGTGGTTTTGGGGTGTCTCCTATGGAGGTGCTGGGGGTTTTGGGGGTGTCTCCTATGGGAGTGTTTTGGGGTGTCTCCGATGGGGGGGTGCTGGGGGTGGTTTGGAGGTGTCTCCGATGGCGGAGGTTTGGGGTGTCTCCTATATTTGGGGGGTTTAGGGTGTCTCCTATTGGGGGGAGTGCTGGGGGCTTTGGGGTGGCGATTTTCTGCAATCAGGGGTTCTTTGGGGGGACTTTGGGGCAGGGTCTGGCGGGGGCTGTTTTAGGCTGGGGAGGTGAGGGGGGTCCTGGGGAGGCGTTTGGGGGGTTCCGGACCGGGGGAGGGTCTGGGAGGGTCCCCAAACCCCGAGAACGCCGGGGTTCCCCCAATCCCCGGGATGGTCTGGGCCGCCATGACCGGAAGCGCCTCCAAAGGGGGCCGGGCCGGGCGGGACCATCGCGGCCGGGGGAGGGGGTTGGATCCACGTCGGCGGGGCCGGCGCTGAGCAGGGGGGTCGTCGGTGCTCAGGGGTCCCTTTGGGGGTCCCTTGGAGAGGGCTCTCAGAGCCCGGTGCGTCCCGTCCCGGCAGCGACAGGGTCCGCCATGGCCGCCCAGGACGAGCTGCTGTCCCTCGGTGAGTCCTGGGGGTCGAGCCGTGACCCCCCCAACCCCAAACCCTGAGGAGGGGGAGGGGTTTGGGTGTCCCCACCCCTTGGAGTCCCCAGAGTTCCAGGAGGCGCCGGAGCCGCTGTCAGGGACCCCGACCCCAAAACCCCAGGGCGACAAGAAGGGGTATATGGGGTGGGGGTGTATATGGGGTGGGGGTGTATATGGGATGGGGTGTATATAGGGTGGGGGTGTATATGGGGTGTGGGGTGTATATGGGATGGGGTGTATATGGGGTGGGGGTGTATATGGGATGAGGGTGTATATGGGTGGGGGTGTATATGGGCGGGGTGTATAGGAGGAGGTGTATATGGGGTGGGGGGTGTATATAGGGGGGTGATATGGATGGGGTGTATATGGGGTGGGGGGTGTATATGGGATGGGGGGTGTATATGGGTGGGGGTGTATATGGGGTGGGGGGTGTATATGGGGTAGGGGGATGTATATGGGGGTAGGGAGGGGGTGTATATGGGGTGGGGGTATATAAGGTGGGGGTGTATGGGTGGGGATGTATATGGGTAGGGGTGTATATGGGAGGTGTATGGGGTGTATATGGGGGGTGTATAGGTGGGGTGTATATAGGAGGGTGTATATGGGGGTGGGGGGTGTATATGGGGTGGGGGTGAGGTGGGGGTGTATAGGGTGGGGAGTGTATAGGGTAGGGATGTATATGGGGTGGGGGTGTATATGGGGTGAGGTGTATATGGGGTAGGGGGTGTAAATAGGGGTGGGGGGTGTATATGGGGTGGGGGTGTATATGGGGTAGGGGGATGTATATGGGGTGGGGGGATGTATATGGGGTGAGGGGTGTGTCCCGGTTCGGGGGTCCCCCCTGTGACCCCCCAACGCCCCCCAGAGCTGCCAGAGGAGTCAGAGGCACTGTCAAAGACCCCTGACCCCAAATCACCCCCCACGACCGTGCCCGAGACCCCCGAGCTCGGGGACCAGGGGGACGACGCTGACACGGCTGAGGTGAGGGTTTTTTTGGGGGGGGTCAGAGGGGGGTCCCGCTGCTCTGGGAGCCCCCCGTGAACCCCCTCCCCACGTCTGCAGCTGCTGGGGGGGCAGCGGCTGCCCCGGAGCTTCTGGACCTTGGAGTATTACCAGGTGTTCTTCGACGTGGACACGCAGCAGGTACCGGGACGGGAACAGGAACCGGGAACGAGGACTGAGACTGGAAACTGGCACTGGGATGGGAATGGGGACTGGGAACTGGCACCAGGACCGGGAACTGGGCCCTCAACCAGGATCCTCAGCTGGGACCGGTACCGATAACCGGTGCCAGGACCTGTAACCAGGACTGGGACCTGCCCGGGGTCCCCACAGCCGGTCCTGGTGCCGGTCCCGGTGCCATTCCCGGTGCCGGCTGAGGCCGAGCCGCGTCCCCGCAGGTGCTGGAGCGGATCAAGGCCTCGGTGACGCCGATACCGGGCAAGAACTTTGTCCGTCACCGGCTGCGCAACAACCCCGACCTGTACGGTGAGAGCGGCCGGGCCTGGTGCTGATCCTGGGCCTGGGGCTGATCCTGGGCTTGGGGCTGATCCTGGGGCTGGGGCTGATCCTGGGGCTGATCCTGGGGCTCGGGCTGATCCTGGGGCTGCCCCGGGGCTGGGCCTGGTGCTGCCCCTTTGCTGACCCCGGGGCTGCCCCCTGTGTTGCCCCACTGGTGGTCCCGGTGCCAGCAGTGCCGGTGCCACCGCGGTGCCAGCAGTGCCGGTGCCAGCAGTGCCGGTGCCAGCAGTGCCAGCAGTGCCGGTGCCAGCAGTGCCGGTGCCAGCAGCGCGGTGTCCCCGTGCCCAGGCCCGTTCTGGATCTGTGCCACGCTGGCTCTGGCTCTGGCCGTCAGTGGGAACCTCTCCCAGCTCAGCGCCCTGCGGGGCCACCCCGAGCGCCGCTACAGCCCCCACTTCCACCACGGTGAGGGCACGGGGGGGGCTGGGCCTCCAAACTGGGACTGGGAGCGGGGTCTGGACCCCCAAACTGGGACTGGGAGCGGGGTCAGGACCCCCAGACTGGGATTGGGGTCTGAACCCCCAAACTGGGACTGGCTCAGGGATCAGAGTCTGGACCCCCAAATTGACACTGGGATCGGGGCCTGGACTCTCAAACTGGGACTGGGATTGGGGTCCGGACCCCCAAACTGGGACTGGGATCGGGGTCTGGACTCTCAAACTGACACTGGGATCGGGGTCTGGACTCTCAAACTGGGACTGGGATTGGGGTCTGGACTCCCAAACTGGGATTGGGGTCAGGACCCCCAAACTGGTACTGGGATGGGGGTCAGGACCCCCACCCTGCTCCTGCCCATCCCTGCGGCTCAGGGAGGGAACAGGGACCCCCCCCTGACCCCCCGTGTCCCCCCCCAGTGACGGTGGCCGCCACCCTCATCTACTGCCACGCGGGGCTGGTGCCTCTGGCGCTCTGGGGGTTCCTGCGCTGGCGCCGGGGGGGTCCTGGGGCTCGGGGGGCTCCTTCAGCCTCCTGGAGACCCTCTGTGCCTACGGATACTCCCTGTCGGCCTACGTGCCTGCTGCGGTGAGCTGGGGGACCCTGGGGCTGGGGGCCCTGGGGGCTGGGGGCCCTGAGAGGCTGGGGGCCCCGGGGCTGGGGTCCCTGGGGGCTGGGGGCCCTGAGGGGGATCCCCATTGGTTGGGGTTGAGGGGCGGTTCCAGTTTTGGGGTGTTTTCCAGGATTCCCAGGGGGTTTGAGGGGAGGGGGGTCCTTGGAGTCTGGGAGGGTCTCTGGGGTGTTTTGGGGGGGGTGTCACCAGGGGTTTTTGGGGGTGACATTTTGGGTGCCCCCAGGTGCTGTGGGTGGTCCCTGTGCCCTGGCTGCAGTGGGGGGTGCCCAGGGGTTTTTGGGGTGACATTTTGGGTGCCCCCAGGTGCTGTGGGTGGTCCCTGTGCCCTGGCTGCAGTGGGTGTTCGGGGTGACATTTTGGTGTCCCCAGGTGCTGTGGGTGGTCCCTGTGCCCTGGGATTTTTTGGGGTGACATTTTGGGTGTCCCCAGGTGCTGTGGGTGGTCCCTGTGCCCTGGGATTTTTTGGGGTGATATTTTGGGTGTCCCCAGGTGCTGTGGGTGGTCCCTGTGCCCTGGCTGCAGTGGTCCCTGCTGGCCCTGCCCGCCCTGCTCTCGGCCTCGGCGCTGGCCGTCACCTTCTGGCCGCCCCTTCGCGCCGGCGGCCGCGTCTCGGCGGTGGCCGCGGTGGCCACTCTGGTGGCCCTGCACGCCCTGCTGGCCGTGGGCTGCAAGGTAACCCCCCCCCCAACTCCTCACCCCCTCCCGGGGGCTCGGGGGCTGCCCCCACCCCCCCTGACGCCGCTTTCTCCTCCCCCTCCCTTTCCCAGCTCTATTTCTTTCAGGCGCCCACGGCGGGACCGGGGGGGGCCCAGGGAGCTGCCCCCCACCAACGTGTCCCACCCTGCTCGCTGAGGTGGGGGACACACCCTGGGGGCTCCCTCACATTGGGGGTCTCCCTCAGCCACCCAGCTCAAGCTCCGAAATAAACTTGGGGAGCCCCCAGCTCGTGTCCCGGCGCCTTCAGGAGCCCCCAGACCCCCCCAGGGAAGCCCCCAAATTCCCTGGGGGATGAGGGGGGGTCTTTGGGGGATGGGGGCGGTGTGGGGGGTGAAGCCAGAGGGGCAGCAGCGTCGAAACCCTCCCATTTATTCAACTACAGCCGGAAAAATCCCGCACGTCCATCCGCTATTCCTACGGAGAGGGGGGCGGGGGGGCCCCCCCTGCCCGGCCCCCGACTCTGGGGGGGCTCCCACTGCCCCCTCCCCACCAAGGGGGAACCCAGGGGGGCACCGAGAGTGCCAGAAAACCCCCTGGAACCCCCTGGAACCACCTGGAACCGCAGCTTTGGGTTGGGTGGGTGGCTGTTCCCAGTGGGAATTCCCGACATTCCATCCCCCCCCCCCCACCATGGACAGGGAATATCCTGGGATTCGGTGGCACGGTAAAAAAAAACCAAAAAAACCAATAAACACTCCCCCGCCCAAAACAAATAAAAAAAAAACTGAACAAAAAAACCAAACAAAACAAAACAAAACCCAACAAAACCAAACAAAAAAAAATAAAATAAAACCAAATAAAAAGTAATTAAAACCAAACAAAAAAAACACCCCAAAACAAAACAAACATCACCCTACACCCCCCAAAAACCAAACCAATGAACCCAAAATAAAATAAATCAAAACAAATCAAAACCAAAAAAACCCAACCCAGGGAACCCTCCGGGTCCTGCACGGAGCGAGGAGGGTGGGGGATGAGGGGCTCCTCGGGGGTGGGGTAGGTGTCCCCCTCACTCCAGTCCCGGGGAGGAGGGGGGTCCCCACTTTGGTTCTGGTGCCGGGGGCGCCGGGGGCCCCTTAGCTGCCGTAGTGCATCGTGTTGGTGGTGATGGACATGGGGAGGCCATGGAGATGGGGGCCCCCATGGTGAATTGGCTGTTGAGGGGTAGTGGGTGCTGGAGCCGGCGCCGCTCTGGCCACTCGAGGAGCCTGGGGGAAAGGGGGTCAGGGGAGATCAGGAAGGGTCAGGGGAGCTCGAGGGGTCAGGGAGCTCATGGGGGTCAGGAGGCTCAGGGGTCAGGGGAGATGGGGGTCAGGGGAGCTCAGGGGGGTCAGGGAGATGGGGGTCAGGAGAGATGGGGGGTCAGGGGAGATCAGGGGGTCAGGGGAGCTCAGGGGGTCAGGGGAGCTGAAGGGGGTCAAGGGAGCTCAGGGGGGTCAGGGAGCTCAGGGGGTCAGGGGAGCTCAGGGGGGTCAGGGGAGCTCAGGGGGGTCAGGGGAGCTCAGGGGGTCAGGGAGCTCAGGGGAGGGGTCAGGGGGTTTCAGGGGGTGCTCAGAGGGTACCTTGTACGATGCCCGTGCTCATGATGGAGCCCATCCTGGAGTGGGTGTGGTTGACGATGCCGGTGTTGGCTGCGGGGATTGGGGGAGGGTTGGGGTGGGGAGGGGCTCGCTGTGACCCCCCTCCCCAAACACACCGTGTGACCCCCCCTCGACACCCCCCAGGCTCACCTAAAGGGATCAGGTTGTTGTGGCCGACGTTGGAGCCGCCGGCGATGACGCTGCTCAGGTCGTAGGCGGCCGGCATCCCTGCGCCAGGGAGGGCTCAGACCCCCAAAAACGGGGAGGGAGTCCCCCAAAACAGGGGGTGACACCCCCAGAACAGGGCAGGACACTCCCAGAACAGGGGTGTGACACGCCAAAAATGGGACCTAAACCCCCCCAAACAGGGTCTGACCCCCTCAAACAAGACCTGGACCCCCTCAAACTGGGACTGCCCCCCACCAAACTGGGGTCTGACTTCCCAAAACCGGGGCATGACCCCCCGCAGAATGGGGTGTGACACCCCCCTCAAATCAGGCCTGACACCCTCCCCACCAAAAACAGGGTCTGAGCCCCCAAAATGGGGTGTGACCCTCCCTAAACGGGGCCTGACTCCCCCCAGGAAAGGGGCCTGAACCCCTGAAAAAGGGACTGACCCCCACCCAAACAGCACCTGACCCCCCAAACAGCACCTGACCCCCAAACAGGACCTGACCCCCCAAAAGGGGTCCTGCCCCCCCCCAAAAGGGGTCCTGCCCCCCTGTACCCACCAGCCACGGCCATGCCCGTGCTCATGTTGTAGGTGCTGCCCGTGTTCCACATGTTCTCCGAGGGGGACGTGTAGTGGGAGCCGGGGGGGGGCGAGGGGTCGTCCCCGTGTACCTGGGGGTTTGGGGGTTTGGGAGGGGCAGTGAGGCCTCGGGGAGGGGGCTGGGGCTCCCCCATCCTCCAGCCCTGCAGCCCCTCCCCCAGCCCTACCTGAAGAAGGGGTTTTCAGGTCGAGGAGGTTGGAGGACTTGGAGCCCGTCTGGTCCACCTGGGCCACGATGCTGATGTCGTAGCTCTGTCTGAAAAGGGGGTAAAACACCTTCTGTGAGCCCCCACACCCCAAAAACACCCCTGGGGTCTGAGCTCTGAGAGACCCCAAAACTGCACTAGGTGGGTTTTTGGGGGTCCGGCCCTGTGGAACAGCAACGGCATCTGGGTCGGGTGTTGTGTCTCCCACACCTCCCAACCCCCCAAGCTATAAATACACCCAAAACTGGGGCAGGGCCCCCTGCCCAAACTGGGGCAGGGCCCCCTCCCTGAGCCACTGACCCCCCCAGCCCCCCCCTCCTCGGAGCTATTCTGGGTGCTTGGGGACTGCGGCGGGGCCCAAACTGGGATGGCAGCTCGGGCAGGGCCGGGGCTTGCAGGGTGGGGACCCCCCCACCATGATTTGGGGACCCTTCCCGTGGTTTGGAGACCCCCCAAGAAGCTTTGGGGACCCCCCCCCCACCTCTTGTTGGCGATGAGGAGACAGGACCCTAAGAGGGTGTCCCTGGTCTTGGTGAGGAGCAGGGACCCCTCCCATGGTTTGGGGACGCCCACCGTGATTTGGAGACCCCTCCCGTGGTTTGGAGACCCCCACCATGATTTGGAGACCCCCCCAGGAGCCTTGGGGACCCTCCCAGGAGCTTTGGGGACCCCCCCTCACCTCTTGTTGGCGATGAGGAGACAGGTCCCTGAGAGGGTGTCCCCGGCCTTGGCGAAGAGCGGGGACTGGAAGAGGCAGCGCACTTGGTACCAGTGGGTCAGCGGCTCCGTGGGGGCCGTGGAGAGCCACACCGTCATTCTGGGGAGGGGAGGGGGGCTCAGGAACAGCCCTGCACACCCCCCACGCCCCCAGCCCCCTGCCCTCGCCCCCGCCCTACATGGAGCCGATGAAGGCCACGTCGAACCAGAAGGCCAAGCCGTGCACGAGCCCCGAGTGCAGCATGTGGAACTTGAAGGGGATTTCTATCCTGGGGGAAGGGGGTGGGTGGAGGAAAAGAGGGGAAGGTGAGACCCTCCCCACCCCGAGGGGCTCAGCCCCCTCCCCCCACCCCACCCCAAGGCCTCGCCCACCTGTGCAGGTCGCCCTCCTTGGCTTCCAAGAAGTTGACGGTGTATTTGACGGATTTGGCCATGAGGATGCGGATGTCGAACGTGTCCTGGGGGTTTTGGGGGGGTTTTAACTCTGGGACCCCTTCCTGGCTCGGCCCAGAGACCCCCAGAAGGCTGTTTTGGGGGGGGGGGGGTCACTCACCACCACGGGCTGCCGGAAATACTCGTCCACGGCGGCCCCGCGGAGCGCGGACAGGTCCACGCCGTGGAAGGACGGCTGGTACCTGTGGGACGGGGGAAATGGGGGAATGGGGTGGGGAAATGGGAACCCCGGGGAAATGGGGCGTGGGGGTGAAATGGGAACCCCGGGGCAGGGGAGGGCTGGGAGGAGGGGGCTGGGGGCTTTGGGGCGGGGGCAGGACCGTGTGCCACCCCCTGGGGAAGGGGACAGGCACGGGGTCAGGAGTGGGGCTCGGGGTGGGGGGGCTGGGTCATCCCACCCCACAGTCCCAGGGCAGGGATGGGGGGTCTGGATCATCCCCCAGGGCACAGTTTGGGGTCAGGGCTGGCCCTGTCCCACCACCCTGGGGGGTACAGTTTGGGGTCAGGACCTGCCCTGTCCCTGGGGGGCAGTTTGGGGTCAGGACCTGCCCTAAGGGGCACAGTTTGGGGTCAGGACTGGCCCTGTCCCCCAACCCCGGGGGGCACAGTTTGGGGTCAGGACCTGCCCTGTCCCTGGGGGCAGTTTGGGGTCAGGACTTGCCCTGTCCTTGGGGGTAGTTTGGGGTCAGGACCAGCCCTGTCCCTGGGGGGCAGTTTGGGGTCAGGACCTGCCCTGTCCCTGGGGGGCAGTTTGGGGTCAGGGCTGGCCCTGGGGGGCAGTTTGGGGTCAGGACCTGCCCTGTCTCTGGGCACAGTTTGGGGTCAGGGCTGGCCCTGTCCCTGGGGGCAGTTTGGGGTCAGGACCGGCCCTAAGGGGCACAGTTTGGGGTCAGGGCTGGCCCTGTCTTTGGGGGGCAGTTTGGGGTCAGGACTTGCCCTGTCCTGGGGCACAGTTTGGGGTCAGGGCTGTCCCTGTCCCTGGGGGCAGTTTGGGGTCAGGGCTGGCCCTGTCCTTGGGGGGCACAGTTTGGGGTCAGGACCTGCCCTGGGGGGCACAGTTTGGGGTCAGGATTATCCCCCGAGGCAGGAGAAGGGACTGGCCCTGTCCCCCCCACCCTGGGGGCAGTTTGGGGTCCCCGCTGCCCTCACCAGAAGTTGGCCTTGGTGAACTGCTCCATGTAGAGCTGCTCGTCCGTGAAGGGCGCCAGGTGAACGTCCCCGATCGTGGGGAACATGTTCCCTGCATTTTAGGGGGGAAAAAGGAGGTAAAAACCCACGGAATTGGAGCGGGGAGGGGCTGGAATCGCCTCCTCCCCCCCCCAAAAAACCAAAAAACCCCAAAAAACGCCCCCCCAAGGACCCACCGCTGGGCTTCAGGTACTTCTTGGCGTGCAGGTAGCTCTCGAGCATGCGCTCGTTGAAGAGCATGTAGCCCATGGGCTCCGAGATGATGATGTCGACCTGCTCGGGCAGCGACACCTCCTCCACCTTGCCCGGGATCACCACGATCCGCTCCGTCAGGTTGTTGCTCTTCACCAGCACCTGGGGGTGGGGGGACACAAAGAGGAGAGGGGGCAGGGTCAGGTTCTGAAATGGGACCCCCCAAAATCGCTCCGTGGGGGAGGAGGGGCCTGGAATTGCTGTAGGGTGGGATGAGGGTGTGAGGGGGGAAGTTTAGGGTGGGTTTGGGGGAGGTGTGAGGGGGGGGGATTGAAAATGGGATGGAAGGAGTGAAATTAAAAAAAAAAAAAAAATTAAAAAAAAAAAGTAAAATTAAAATAAAAGCGAAATAGAAGAGGGAAAGGGGGAAGGGAAAGGGGAGGGGGGAAAGGGGAGGGGAAAAGAGGAAGGGACAGGAAAAAAGAGAAAAAAGAAAGAGGGAAACGAAAAAAGGAAAAGAAAAAGAAATAGGAAAAGGAAATGGGAAAAAAAACCAGGAAAAATAGGAAAAAAATACAGGGAAAAAAAAGGGCAAAAATAAGTAGGAAGAAACAGGAAAAGGAAGCAGGAAAAGGGAAAATAAGAGGAGAAGCAAAAAAGGAAAAATTAAATTCAAAAAATTTTAAAAGAACAGTAAAATAAAAAGCGAAAATAAATTAAAAAAAAAAAAAAAAAAAGGTTTTCCCAGGGTGGTGCCAGGAGGGGGCTTTTCCAGAGGGGGTTTTCCAGGTTGGGGAGGTGTCAGAGGGGCGGGGCAGGGCACGGCGTGGCAGGGTGGGAGCGGCTGGCAGGGCGTGGCAGGGCAGGGCGTGGCAGGGCAGGGCGTGGCAGGGCAGGGCGTGGCAGGGCAGGGCGTGGCAGGGCCAACCTCGGCGTGCTGGGCCATGGTGCTGGCCTCCACCGCGTAGATCTTGCGCGCGCCCGCCTGCGCCGCGAAGAAGGAGAGGATGCCGGAGCCGCAGCCAACGTCCAGCACGATCTGCGGGGAGGGACGGGGGGGAGAGGGCATGGGAACCTCCCCTGGAGCTCTGGGATACGGCCAGAGCCTGGGATTTATATCCCAGGGGACTCCAGAGCCCGGGGTTCATCCCACCCAGGGGACTCCAGAGCCTGGGATTCATCCCATCCACAACTCCTGACCCCGGGGTTCATCCCCCCCGGGGCTCCAAACCCTGGGATTCCTTACCCTGGGATTCCCAACCCTGGGGTTCATCCCACCCAGAAACTCCAGACCCCTGGGATTCCTGACACCAGGGATTCCTTACCCTGGGATTCCCAACCCTGGGGTTCATCCCACTTAGAAACTCCAGACCCCGGGATTCCCGAGCCCAGGGATTCCTTACCCTGGGGTTCATCCCACCCAGAAACTCCAGACCCCCGGGATTCCCGAGCCCAGGGTTCATCCCACTCATCCCGGCCGGATCGCGGGGATTAAACCACGAGCGGCCCCGGCGCCCAAATCCCCTCTGATCCCGCAGATCCCACACATCCTATATTTACCACCCCGATTACGGGATCAGCGGAGCCGCCGTGGGACGCCCGGGGCCCACGTCCCACCCTCCCCAGGTGTGTCCCAGGGTGGGGATGTTAAAAACAACCCAATCCCGACCCCAAAACGGGGCAGGTTGGCCCCAGAAACGAGCCAGGCTTCCCTGGGAGTGGATTCCCTCCTAAATCCAGCCAGATTCCCTCAAACATTCCCTCCTAAATCCAGCCAGATTCCCTCAAACATTCCCTCAAAAACCCAGCCAGATTCCCTCAAACATTCCCTCCAAAATCCAGCCAGATTCCCTCAAACATTCCCTCCTAAATCCAGCCAGATTCCCTCAAACATTCCCTCCAAAATCCAGCCAGATTCCCTCAAACATTCCCTCAAAAACCCAGTCAGATTCCCTCAAAGATTCCCTCCTAAATCCAGCCAGATTCCCTCAAACATTCCCTCAAAAACCCAGCTGGATCCTGCCCAAAAGTCCAGCCAGAGTCCCTTCAAAATCCAGCCAGATTCTGTCAAGGATTCCCTCAAAACCCCAGCCACACCGTGCCCAAAAAAGCAGCCAAATTCCTGCCAAGACCCAGCCAGAATCCTCCCAAAACAGCCAGGACGCCAAATTCCCTCCCCAGACCGAGCCAGGCGTCCCCCAAACGAGGCAGATTCCCCAAAAACAAGCCAGATCCTGCCAAAAAGGAGTCAGATCCCCCTAAACTGAGCCACACCCCCAAAAATAGGCCACACCCCTAAAATGAGCCAGGTTTCACAAAAAAGAGACAGACCCCCCCAAAAAGAGACAGATCCCCCCAAGACAAGCGAGACCCTTCAAAAGGCACCAGATCCCACCAAAAAGAAGCCAGACCTGCCCAAAGTGAGCCAGATCCACTCAAACTGAGCCAGATACCCCCAAAATGAGCCAGATCCACTCAAAATGAGCCACACAGCCTTAAAATGAGCCAGATCCACCCAAAATGAGTGAGACCCTCCAAAAGAAGCCAGATCCACCCAAAATAAGCCACACAGCCTTAAAATGAGCCAGATCCCACCTAAAGGAGGCAAACCCTCCAAAAGGAGCCAGATCCCACCAAAAACGAGACAGAAGAACACGAAATGAGCCAGACCCTCCCAAAACGAGCCAGACCTTCCCAAAACGAGCCAGACCCCCCCAAAACGAGCCAGACCCCCAAAACGAGCCAGACCCCCCCAAAACGAGCCAGACCCCCCCAAAACGAGCCAGACCCCCCAAAGGAGGCAGAAGAAGGGGAAGGCCAGACCTTGTCCTTGAAGTCGCTGTGGTTCTGCAGGATGGCCCTCTGGTAGGTGCCGGTGCGCACGTAGTCCTGCATCATGTTCTGCTGCTGGGACAGGTACCCGTAGAACTGCGGGGCACAGGGACACGGGGGGGTCACGGGGGGGTCCCAGCCGGCCCAGGAACCCCCCCCCCTGGAGCAGGGAACTCCCACCTGGAAGTACTGGACGGCCGAGGACTCCTCGGTGCGCTCGCTGAACACCGAGCGCTCCGTGTTGTGGCCCCGGCAGTTCTTCAGGATGTTGTAGAAGGAGCAGAAATCTGGGGGTGGGAGGGGGTGGGAGGTTAAAGGGGTCCCCGGGAGTCTGGGGGGTCCCGGGAGGGGGTCCCGCACCGTTGGGGGTGCTGAACTGCAGCAGGACGCTGTTGCAGCCCAGGGTGACGATGAAGGACTGTTTGCCCACGCGGCTGCACTCGGTCTCGCGGGACACGGAGCACTTGAACACGCAGACGTCCTCATCTGGGGGAAATGGGGAGGAGGGGGGACAGAGGGGGAATACAGGGGAGTGGGGAGGAAAAGGGGAGGGGAGGACAGAGAGAAAAGTGGGGGTGAGCACCAGGCCAAGCCCCACACTACCCCCACCACCCTAGTGGTCCCTGCTGCCCCCAGCCCAGCAGGAGAAACCACAATTAACCTAATTGACCTCTAATTACTGCTGGGAGCACCCTAAAGCACGGGGAGGATGGGGGCGGGGGAGGAGCCGGGATTCCCATCGGGAATGGGGGGGGACCACGAGGGAAGATGGACCGAGGTCCTGCAGCTGAGCTGGGAATCACCCCGGGATTCAGGAATCACCCCGGGAGACAGGAATCCTCCCGGGAGACAGGGATCATCCCGGGAGACAGGGATCACTCCAGGAGCCATGCCGGGAGCCAGGAATCCTCCCCGGGAGCCAGGAATCCTCCCCGGGAGCCAGGAATCCCCCCGAGGAGCCAAGGATCCCCCCCGGGCGAGCCGGGAACGAGCAGCTCCCGCCGCTCTCACGCCGGGAAAAACCCGAGCCTCTCCCCCTCCCCACAAAAGAAAAACACCCCAAAAAACCGCGTTTTCCCCCCGGGACGCGGCTGCCGGACCCTGTTTCCCCCCCTCCTGTTCCCCGCCGGAGCGGCCACGCGGCACGGGAAGTTGCCGGATGGGATGGGGAGCGATGGAGGAGCGGAGGGGGCTGCGGCCCCACCGGGCACCTGCGCCCGGCCGGGAACGCCGGGAGCGGGAATAATTCCGCCGGGAGCGGGAAGAATTCCGCCGGCAGCGGGAAGAATTCCGCCGGGAGCGGGAATAATTCCGCCGGCAGCGGGAAGAATTCCGCCGGGCCCGGGCTCTTTGTGGCCGAACGGAACGAGGGAAGGGCGCTCCCGGCAGATGTTCCGGCGGCCGGAGCCCCCCGGAGCCCCCCGGGCCGGCACACAAAGGCTCCTCTGGAGAGGCTTCCGGAGGCTCCGGCGTTCCTGGCTCCTCTCTCTGGTATTCCCGGTTCCTCTCCGGTATTCCCGGCTCCTCTCTCCGGTATTCCCGGCTCCTCTCCGGCATTCCCGGTTCCTCTCCGGATTCCCGGCTCCTCTCTCCGGTATTCCCGGTTCCTCTCCGGTATTCCCGGCTCCTCTCTCCGGCATTCCCGTCTCCTCTCTCCGGTATTCCCGGCTCCTCTCCGGTATTCCCGGCTCCTCTCTCCGGTATCCCCGGTCCCTCTCTCCGGTATTCCCGGACGGGCCGGGCCGGGCCGGGATCCGGGACGAGCCGGATCCCGGCGTCCCCCCCACCCCCCCAATCGCTGCCAAATCCGTTAATTATTCCCGCTGGTTAATTAATCCCACGGGGGCGCAGCGTTCGAGGGGAAGGGGGTCGGGGGGTGCTGCGCGTCGCGCCCCCCTCCCCGGCCACGGGAATCCGTCGGGAATCCCGGCTGGACGCGGAGGGTCCCGAGCACAAAGCGCAGAACGCGCCGGGTTTTTGGTGGGGTTTTTTTAGGGTGGGGGTGAGAAAAGACGCCAAAAAGACGCCAGGGAAAAGCAGGATTCTCGCGCGGAGACAAAGAGGGACTCGGCGCCGCCCCCCCCCCCCCTCCCGAGGAATTCGGGGGGCACCCCCGCGACCCCCGGGGGGCCGGGAAGGTCACGGAATTGGGGCCGTTTCGGGCAAAAGCGGGAGGGGGGGGATCAACTTTGCGCAGGGGACGGGGCCTGGCCCGACCCCCACCCCCCCATCCCTGCCCTGAGGGGAACACGGCGGTGCTGGGACCCCCCAAACGTCACAGACACCCCAAAGTGACCCTCCCCGACCCCCTTCTGATCCCCCAACGCCCCCACGGGCCCAGGACCCCATCAGGCTCCCCCAGAGCCCCCAAACACCACAGACACCCCAAAATCCTCCCCAGAGCCTCTCCTCTCCCCCTCAAGCAGGCTCAGGACCCCATCAGGCCCCACCAGAGCCCCCACACCCCCCGGGTCCCCCACTCCATCTCAGCCCAGCCCCCTCCTCTCTCTTGGCCCCACCGGCCCTGGACCCCCAAAATCCCCTCCCGTCCCCGTCCCCCAACTCAGCCCTCCAGGCCCAGCCCCCAAGCCCCTGCACCCCCAAACCCTCCAGAGCCCCCAAGTGTCCCCCCAATCCCAGTCCCCCATCTCCCCTAACCCCTCCATCCCCCTCAGGGCCCTCCCCCAGACCCCACAGACCCCTCAGGATCCCTTCCCACACCACCCCATCCCCAGACCCCTCAGGCTCCCTCCCCCTCCCCAAAGCCCCTCAGGCCCCCTCCCCAAACCACCCCATCCCCCAAAGCCCCTCAGGGCCCTCTCCCATCCCCAGAACCCCTCAGGCCCCCCTCCCCCCCACTCCCCATAAGCCCCTCAGGCCCCCTCCCCACACCACCCCATCCCCCAAAGCCCCTCAGGGCCCTCTCCCATCCTCCTCCATCCCCCAGAGGCCTCCACAGAGGCCCCTCCCTCCCATCTCCCCTCCATCCCCTCCATCCCTCAGAGCCTCTCCCATCCCCCAGAGCCCCTCAGGGCCCTCTCCCATCCCCACAGACACCTCCATCCCTCAGAGCCCTCTCCCATCCCCCAGAGCCCCTCAGGGCCCTTCCCCAGCCCCCCCATGCCCGCAGCCCCCTCCCCGCCGCGCCCCCCGGTCCCGGGCGCACTCACGGCCGTAGAGCGCGATGGCGGCGCTGTCGGGGCCGGTGCGGACCTCGAGGCGCAGCGGCTGCTGCTCCTGGTGCCGCTGGATCTCCCCGTTCGCGTCCCCGACCGTGAGGAGCCGCACGCCGGGGAACACCGACACCGCGGCCATCTTGGACCGCGCCGCGCCCCGCCCACGCGGGGACACGCCCCCCGCGACCGGACACGCCCCCCGACCCCACGCGGGGACACGCCCCCCACGGGACAGGGACACGCCCCCTCCCTCGGCTGGACACGCCCACATCGAACGGGGACACGCCCACACCTAACGGAGACACGCCCCCTCCCTCGGCTGGACACGCCCCCCGCGGCTTCGGGACACGCCCACATTTAACGGGGACACGCCCACACCTAACGGAGACACGCCCCCTCCCTCGGCTGGACACGCCCCCAGCGGCTTCGGGACACGCCCACATTTAACGGGGACACGCCCACACTTAACGGGGACACGCCCACATCTAACGGAGACACGCCCCCCTCTGCCCGCTCCCACGCCGCGATTGGACACGCCCGTTTTGGGGACGCGCCCCCTCCCGAAGTGGGCGGGGACCGCTCAGCAGCGCCGCCCGGCGGGCGCGCGGGGGGACCGGGAGTGGGATACTGGGAACACAACTGGGAACACTGGGAACACTGGGAATGGGATACATGGAAAGGCGAGGCCCCCCACGCGCGGGGGTGGCCGCGATGGTGCCCGGGAAGCCGCGGCCCGGCCGCTCCCGCCTCAGGCGGTTCCGCGGGCAGCCCCGGCCGGCGAAGGGGGCAGAGGGGCCTTCCTTGGCGACGTCGCGCAGCGATGGCGGCGCCCGCGCCGGTGCCGGGGGTGGGACCCGAATTGTCCCCAAATCCCCCCCCCAGTCCCGAACTGTCCCCAAACCCCCCTCCAGTCCCGAATTGTCCCCAATTCCCCCCAGTCCCGAACTGTCCCCAAGTCCCCCATTCCCGGGATTCTGCGGGGTCCGACTCACAGGGCCGGCGGGACAAAGCCCCCCGAATTGGCGCCCTCGCACCACGTGGGCAGGGGAGATTTTGTGGGGAACCCCCCAATTGAGATTGGGGTGAAACCCCCCGGGATTGGGGTGGAGCCCCCCGGGTTTGGGGTGAAACTCCCGGGATCGGGGTTTAAAACCCGTCGGGGTTGGAGTAAAACCCCCCCCCCTCCCCAGGATTGGGATGAAACCCCCCCAAAAAATTGGGGTCAAACCCCCGGCCCCCCCAAAGTCCCCCTCATTTCCCCTCTAAACCCCAAGTCTGATTTTATTAAATTTTTTAATTTTTATCCCTTTATTTTGACCTTTTTTTTGACCTTTTTTTTGTTTTTTTAGTTCATTAATGGGGTGCGGAGCGGAGGCACTTGGGAGGCGGTGCCGGGACCCCGGGAAGGAGGGGAGGTTGGGAGGGGGGTCAGAGCAGCCTCCCAACCCCCAAACCGCCCCCTCCCCCGCCCCCGGCTCGTTAATGGATTAATTGGCCCCCCCGAGCCGGGGGGTCGTTAAGGCAAAAATCCACATTATTGCTGGGCCGGGAAGGGGCTTTTTTTCTTCTTTTTTTTTGCCTTTTTTCTTGGTTTTTGTCCTTTTTTTTTTTTTTTTTATACAATTAATACAAGTCTGTAAAAATATTTACAACCTCGGCGCGGGGAGGGAGGGGGAAGGAGGAGGGGAAAAAGGGAGGGGGAGACGCTGCCAGAGCAAACCCCCTGGCTCCAGGAATCCCCCAAAGGACATGGATCCCCTCCTCGGGATAACGGAGCTTCCTCCCCTCCCCCTCCTCCTCCTCCTCCTCCCCCATCCCGGGGGTTATTCCAGGGGAGGAAATTCCTGAGGCTCACCCAGGAATTGGGTTTGTTTTTTTTTTAGTGAATCCCTCTCGGAATTCCAGGTTTTTTTCCCCCTCCTCCCCCAACTAACAATTTTCCTCCAAAACTCTAAAAAACCCGGGGGGGGAAAACCCCCAAATCCCGGCGGTTTGCAGGGAATATATTAATACAAAAACTCTGGGCAGGAGGAGGAGGAAAAGGAGGAGGAAAGGAGGAGGGAAGAAGGCAGAGAGAGAGGGGCGGGAACGGGACCGTCCCCCCCTTCCCCCCAACCCCTCCCTTGGGCCGTCCCGGCATTCCCGGGGCAGGAACGCCGGGAATTCTGACAAAGTGCAATATCCCCCTCTCCCCCAACCCCCTCCCCAAATCCGGGATTGTCCCGGATCGTTTCACGTCTGGGGGGTGGAGTGGGGGCTCTGACCACCCCCTTATCCCGGAGCGCTCCGGGACACTCCGGGATCAGCTGCGGGGACCAGCCCTGGAGCTGCCGGGACCAGGATCGGACCGGATCGGATCGATCGGATCGACCGGATCAGGATCGATCGGACCGACCGGGACCGGATCGATCGGACGGGCTGGTGCCGAGCTGGGAGGGGTTTGGGGTGGGGAGGGCTCGGTGGGTTTGTTCCCCGTGCCCCCAGCCCGGGGATGGGGAGGGGGGTCAGGGCAGGCAGGGCAGATCCCGCGGCTCCGGAGACCCCCAGGCCCGGGGGGTCAGGTCAGGTCAGGTCGGACCCCCAGCCCGGGGGTCGCGGGTCCCCAGCTCAGGGTTGCTGGGTTGCCCCAGCCCAGGGGGTCAGGTCAGGTCGGACCCCCAGCCCAGGGGGGTCGCTGGGAGTCCCGTGTCCCCAGCCTGGGGGTCGCTGGGGTGTCCCCCAGCCCAGGGGGTCAGGTCAGGCCGGAGCCCCCAGCCTGGGGGGGTTAATCCAGCAGGGAGGGCTCGGCCGGGCGGATGATGGTGGGGCGGTTCAGGGCGGCCGGGGGTCTCCTGCATAGGGAGGGGAGGGTGCTGAGAGCCTGTGGGACCCCCAAACCATCCCTGAGACCCCCCAAACCATCCCTGAGATCCCCCAAACCATCCCAGGGACCCCCCAAACCATCCCAGGGATCCCAAAGCATCCCAGGGACCCCAAACCATCCCAGGGATCCCAGATCATCCCAGTGGGACCCCAGACAATCCCAGGAGGACCCCAATGACCTCAACAGGACCCCAGACAATCCCAATGGCAACCTGGATGATCCCAATGGGACCCCAGCCCATCCCAGTGGAACCCCCTGGCCTATCCCAGCAGGACCCTGGATAAACCCAGCAGGATCCCAGATGATCCCAGCCAATGCCAGCCCATCCCAGCAAGATCCCAGTCCATCCCAGCGGGACCCTGGATAATCCCAGCCCATCCCAGCCCCTCCAGCCCATCCCAGCAGGACCCCAGCCCATCCCAGCAGGATCCTGGACTATCCCAGCACAATCTCAGCCCATCCCAGCCCCTCCCAGCAGGATCCCAGCCCCTCCCAGCAGGATCCCAGCCCCTCCCAGCAGGACCCTGGATAATCCCATGCCCCCCCTGCCCCGCTGAGGCTCACCTGGGCACGCCGGGGGGGATGCCGGGGGGGATGCGTGCGGGTCCATCCATCCCATCCCATCCCATCCATCCCATCCCATCCCATCCCATCCCATCCCATCCCATCCCATGCCCCATTGAGGCTCACCTGGGCACGCCGGGGGGGATGCCGGGGGGGATGCGTGCGGGTCCATCCCATCCCATCCCATCCCATCCCATCCCATCCCATCCCATCCCATCCCATCCATCCCATCCCATCCCATCCCATCCCATGCCCATTGAGGCTCACCTGGGCACGCCGGGGGATGCCGAGAGGATGCGTGTCGATCCATCCCAGCAGCATCCCATCCCATCCCATCCCATCCCATCCCAGCCCAGCCCAGCCCATCCCATCCCATCCCATGCCCCCATGCCCCACTGAGGCTCACCTGGGCACGCCGAGGGGATGCCGGAGGATGCGTGCGGGCCGCGAGGGATCTGGGGGCGCCGAGAAGGGTCGCTGCCGGCGGGGGAAGACGCTCTGGGGGCCGAGGCGGGACGGGATGGGGGCGGCGGGGAGGCCCCCAGGCAGGGGCAGCAGCGGAGGCGGCCCTGGGGTCGGGCCCCGCACCGAGGGCGGGCGGCCGGGGGCCCAGGGCCGAGGGCGGGCGGCGCTGGGGGCTGCGAGAGAGAGGGGGTCAGAGATGTGGGGGAACACACAGATCCAGCACATGGGAATGCCCCAAATCCCTCTGCGATTGTCCCTGGGAGTGCTCCAATCCCCTGGGAACGCCCAACTTCTGGGACTCCCAATCCGCCTGGGAATACCCCAATCCCCTGGGAATGCCCCTAGAATGCCCCAATCCCCGGAACATCCCTGGGAACGCCCCAGTCCGCCTGGGAGCACCCCAGTCCCCTGGCAACACCCCAATCCCTCTGGAACCACCCTGAATCCCTCTGGAACCACCCTGAATCCCCTTGGGAACACCCCAATCCCCCTGGCAACACCCCAAATCCCTCTGGGAATGCCCCCAGCCCCTCTCCTCCCCAGGGTCCCAGTTCTGTGGGTGACGGAGCCCCCATCCCCAGGACATTCCCCATCCCCAGGACATTTCCCACCCCCAGGACCTTCCCCTCCCCAGGGCACTCCCCATCCCCAGGACATTCCCCTCCCCAGGACATTCCCTCTCCCCAGGACATTTCCCACCCCCAGGACATCCCCTCTCCCCAGGACCTTCCCCCTTCCCAGGATATTCCCCAGGACACTTCCCAGGACATTCCCCATCCCCAAGACATTTCCCAAGACATTCCCCCTCCCCAGGACATTCCCCCTCCCCAGGACTTTCCCCCTCCCCAGGACGCTCCCCCTGCCCGTGCCCACCTGTGGGCGGGGCCGGGCTGCAGCCAGGTGTCGTCCACGGGGGGTGGCACAGGTGTGGACACGGTGCTGGTGCTGATGTCGCCGATGATGCCCAGCGCCTCCTTGAGCGCGTGGTACATGCGCAGCATCTCGTCCCGGCGCTGCGCCTGCTCCGCCGACTCCTCCATCAGGCTGCCCTGGTCAGCCGACGAGTACAGGTAGGCCAGCAGCTCCGAGTGGATGAAATCCTTGGTCTGGGGGCACAGGGGGGCAAGGGGGTGAAATCCTTGGTGTGAGGGGACAAGGGGTTTGGGGGTGAAATCCTTGGTGTGGGAACAGCAGCTCCGAGTGGATGAAATCCTTGGTCTGGGGGCACAGGGGGGCAAGGGGGTGAAATCCTTGGACTGGGAAGAGAAGGGGTTTGGGGGTGACATCCTTGGTGTGGGGGCACAGGGGGGGCAAGGGGTAAAATCCTTGGTGTGGGAGCACAGGGGGCAAGGGGTGAAATCCTTGGTGTGGGGGGACAAGGGGGGCAAGGGGGTGAAATCCTTGGTGTGGGAAGAGCAGGGAGTTGGGGATGAAATCCTTGGTGTGGGAACAGCAGGGCTTTGGGGGTGAAATCCTTGGTGTGGGAAGAGCAGGGGTTTGGGGATCAAATCCTTGGTGTGGGAAGAGAAGGGAGTTGGGGATGAAATCCTTGGACTGGGAAGAGAAGGGAGTTGGGGATGAACCCCTTGGACTGGGAAAAGCAGGGAAAAGCTTCTCCTTCCAGGGAATTGCAGGGAGTCGGAAGGTCCCCCTGGAGCCTCCTTTTTCCAGGCTGAGCCCCCCTCCCCCAGCTCCCTCAGCTGCTCCCACAAGTTCTCCAGCCCCTTCTCCCGTTCTCCAGCCCCTTCTCCCGTTCTCCAGCCCCTTCTCCCATTCTCCATCCCCTTCTCCCGTTCTCCAGCCCCTTCTCCCATTCTCAGCCCCTTCTCCAGCCCCTTCTCCTGTTCTCCAGCCCCTTCTCCCGTTCTCCATCCCCTTCTCCCCTTCTCCAGCCCCTTCTCCCGTTCTCCAGCCCCTTCTCCCGTTCTCCAGCCCCTTCTCCCATTCTCCATCCCCTCCTCCCGTTCTCCAGTCCCTTCCCCCCGTTCCCCACCCGCTCACATTGTTGATCATGAGGTGCATGATGGTCTTTGGCATGAGGTCCCGGATGGATTTGTTGATGATCCCCACGTAGGAGTCCACGAGGTTCCGGATGGTCTCCACCTGCCGCTCCAGCTGGGGGTCCATGGAGAAGGTGTTTTCCTGCGCCCCGTCCTCGCTCTCTGTCTGCTCAGGGAAGGGGGAAAACAGGGTAGGAGTCACCTCTGGGATAGGGAGGAGCTGGGAAGAGACCCCCCTGCTCCCCCCCATGGGCCTGGTCCTGCTCCTCCTCCTCCAGGTGCTTCCCAGTGGGTCCCAGGAGCTTTCCAGGAGCTTCCCAGGGGGTCCCAGGAGCTTCCCAGGAGCTTCCCAGGGTGTCCCAGGAGCTTCCCAGGGTGTCCCAGGAGCTTTCCAGGGGGTCCCAGGAGCTTCCCAGGGGGTCCCAGGAGCTTTCCAGGGGGTCCCAGGAGCTTTCCAAGGGGTCCCAGGAGCGCTCCCGGTCCCTCCAGCCACCTCTGCCGGGGGCAGCCCCCGTTCCCGAGGGGTCAGGGCATTTTGGGGAGGGGCTTTACTTGGTCTTTCTCAGGATAAACCCCCGCCCGCAGGAAGGAGGCTTTCCAGCTGTCCACGTCCTCCTGGGAGTCGCAGGCCAGCTCGATCTGCCGCAGATCCTTGTACACGTTCCTGGGGGACGGAGCAGGGCCTGGGGTCGGGGCAGCTCCTGAGCCCCAGATCCCAGTGGGATCCCAGCATAAATTCCCTTCCTCCAGACAATTCCCCCCAGCCCCAAGAGGATCCCGGATGCTGCAGCCTGGGGAAAGGAACGCCCATGGAAGGCGTCCCCCCCTGCCCCCACGATCCCGGGATTCCAGGGGGTGGCTCTCCCCACCTCTGCTCCGTGTTGAAGATGGCAAAGACGTGTTTGGTGGACATGAATCCCTTCTCCACATCCCTGATCTTCAGGTTATCCAGGGGCAGCATGTACTTCTTCTCCTTCTCCTGGAAAAGCGGGAAGGAGGGGGGAAGGAGGAGAGGGAAGGAGGGATGAGCCTGGTGGCGCTTCCTGAACGCCCAAGGGGCACCCGGAGTGGGAATAAATCCCCCCCCTCCAGCCCTGGGAAGCTCCAGAACAGATCCCAGGTCTGGAACAGATCCCAAGCTCCAGAACAGATCCCAGGTCTGGGAACAGATCCCAGGTCCAGAACAGATCCCAGGTCTGGAACAGATCCCAAGCTCCAGAACATATCCCAAGGTCCAGAACAGATCCCAAGCTCCCACCAGAGCTTGGCTCCCCAGGAGATGCTTCCCTGGCTCATCCCTGGCTCATCCCGTGGCCAACTCCAGCCCGGGCTGGGGGTTGGGAATCTGCTCCGGAGGGACCGCGGATCCCTCCGGGTGCCGCTCTGCCTTTCCCAAGGATGCCGAGGAAACCCCCCCATGGAGTTTTGGGATTTGAGGTCCGTGGGCAGCCCCGGGATGGAGTCAGAGCCCACCCTGCTCCCTCCAGGAGCCGATTCCGGCCGCCCTTTTCCCGCCCGGCCGCGCCGCCACATCTGGAACCGTTTAAGAGCTCCAGCCCCGCTCCGGCTCCAGATGGTCCCAAAAAGTGACGTTGGCCTTTGTGGAGAGGCCACGAACCCGGCGCCGGCCCCCCCATCCCCTTCCCCTCCCTCCTTCCCTCCCCCACCCCTTCCCCGATTTCCTGAAAACCCACAGCGCTTTTCCAGGCGGGGAATTCGGGGCCGAGGGCTCTGCCACGTCAGGGCGAGACAAAGCCGCGCTTCCTCTCGCCCGCCGGGACCCCCAGAGCCCCCCCAGAGCCCCCAAAATAAACCCCCTACCACCACCATGAGGAGGAAAAGCTCAGGAAGGAAGGAAGGAAGGAAGGAGGAGGATCCATCAGGAGGATCCCGCGGGAAGCAGAGCCGGGCCGGCGTTCCCAGTGTTCAGACTACCTGTTCAGGTGGGCTGCTGTTGTACAGTAGTCTGCACATTGGTTACGCCCGCCCGGGCCGGCTCCGGCGCCGCCGCAGGTAAGGGGGGCCCGGGGGGGCCGGGATTGCCCCTTCCTGGGGATCCCACGCGTTCCAGGGGCAGCATTCCCGGGGGGGGGGGCAGGGAGGGGAGGGGGGATCGTGCCCTGCTGGTGTCCCCCACCCTGAATCCCACGGGAGCTCCTGGAGAGGGGTGGTTTTTGGGGCTGGGGGTGGAGGAGGGGAGGAGGAGGAGGGTGAGGAGGAGGAGGAGGAGGAGGAGGAGGACAGAGCCTCATTCATCCCACGGCTCAATCCCATTCCAGGGGCCCCTGAGGCCCGGCGAGGAAACCGGGATCGCTCCGGGTGGGATCAGCCCGGCGTGTTCCTGCTCTTTTAGGGGATTCAGGAAGGGAGGGGGAAGGGGGCAGGAGGGGCTCCATCAGCCCTGGAAGAGATTGTGGGGGAGTGGGGAGGAACAAAGGAAAAGCGGGATCTGGTCCCAGGAAATAAACGCTGTGTCCGTGTCTGCTTGTGCCGACCCCGTGCTGGGCCCTTCCCCGCCCCCATTCCCACCCCCTGTGTCCCCCAAAATCCTGGGAAGGGCCCCCTTCCTCCACACACACACACACAGAGAGCCTCTGGCTGCTGGGCCGGTGACGTCAGGGGAGGAGCGGGATCAGGATCAGGATCGGGATCAGGGGGGTGGAAAAGCTGGAAAACCCGAAACCTCCACGGGCAGGAACTGCCTGAGCTGCCCTGGCCCCCCTTCCCGGGGGAAAGCCCAGAGGAATCACTTTGGAAAGGGGGATTTGGGGGGTCTGGGGGAGCCACCAACACCCTGGAACCCTGGGAGCAGCGGGATGGGGTGAAATTCCCACCCGGAACGACGAGATGGATCAATGAGGAGCTGCCCCTTCCCAGACAACCCAGCAGGGGAAAAGGGGGGACCTGCGGCCTCCAGCACCCCAAAATCCCAGGGATGGGGGGAATCCAGGCCTTTCCACCCTCATGGAGCGGGGGTAGGACTCGATCCCAGCTCCCACCTCCCTCCAGCCCCAGCATTCCCGGCTGGAATGTGATCCTGGGGGTGCCAGACCGGCACAGCCCCCCCCCAGAACCCCCTTTTCCTTCCTCTGGTTCTCCCTGAGCCGCTTTCCCTCCTCCCTCCTTCGACTGGGAAGTGGCCCCTGAGCTGGGTCAGGGGGCTGGGAGAGGGGTGGGACACAAGGAAAACCCCCCCAAACTCATCCATGAGCCCCCGGAACGCGCCGGTGCCTCCGGATTTATCCGTGTTTATACAATCCTGAGGGCTGGCGGGGAGAGTTTGGAGACAGGGGAGAATTTGGGGGTCTGGATGAGCCCCCCACACCCGGACTCGGTGCTTGCAATTACTCCTGGGCCGCCAATCACCATCCCCACCCCTAGGATCTTCCCACTGGAGCACCGGGAATGCTGTTTCTCCCCCACCCCCATCCTGTTTTCCCCCCCAAATCCCATTTTTCTCCCCCCAAATCCCGTTTTTCTCCCCCCAAATCCCATTTCCCCCCCCCAAATCCCGTTTTTTCCCCCCTCCTACCTCCTCATCCTTGTACCAGGAGAGCGACTCCGCCGTGAGCACGAACCAGTACTCCTTGGAGCCGCCCTTCATGATGCTGATGTTGTTGATGGTCAGCCAGCCCCTGCGGATCACCTGGAGCAGGGGCAGGAGCCGGGCAGGAAGGAGGAGGGAGGGAGGAAGGAGATGTTACAGAGGGGCAGATTCCAGAGGGACAACCCCAGGGGAGCAGAGCAGGAGGTGACCCCGAAGCCCACCAAGCCCCCATCCCACAGGGAAGCTGGCAGGGGGTGTTGGGGGGGACACACCTGGAGATCCCAAGCCCCCATCCCACAGGGAAGCTGGCAGGGGGTGTTGGGGGGGACACACCTGGAGATCCCAAGCCCCCATCCCACAGGGAAGCTGGCAGGGGGTGTGCTGGGGGGGGACACCTGGAGATTCCCAAGCTCCCAAAGCCGGGTGGGAAAAGCTGCCCAGGCCAGCGGGATCTTCCCATGGCTCTGGGAGATCCGAACCCCAATCCCTGTGCCTCAGCTGGGATGGGCTGGAAGGGAAAGCTCCAGCACCCCATGGCCCCAGGGAGAGATCCTACAACCCCCTGGATGGATCCTACAACCCCCTGGATGGATCCTACAACCCTATGGATCCATCCCACAGCCCTGGATGGATCCTACAACCCCTATGGATCCATCACAACCCCCTGGATGGATCCTACAACCCTATGGATCCATCCCACAGCCCCTGGATGGATCCTACAACCCTATGGATCCATCCCACAGCCCCTGGATGGATCCTACAACCCTATGGATCCATCCCACAACCCCCTGGATGGATCCTACAACCCCATGGATGGATCCCACAACCCCATGGATGGATCCCACAACCCCATGGATGGATCCTACAACCCCCTGGCTGGATCCTACAACCCCCTGGATGGATCCTACAGCCCCCTGGATGGATCCTACAACCCCCTGGATGGATCCCACAACCCTATGGATCCATCCCACACCCCCTGGATGGATCCTACAACCCCCTGGATGGATCCCACAACCCTATGGATCCTACAACCCCATGGATGGATCCTACAACCCCCTGGATGGATCCCACAACCCTATGGATCCATCCCACACCCCCTGGATGGATCCTACAACCCCCTGGATGGATCCCACAACCCCCTGGATGGATCCTACAACCCTATGGATCCATCCCACACCCCCTGGATGGATCCTACAACCCCATGGATGGATCCCACAACCCTATGGATCCATCCCACAGCCCATGGAAGGACCCCACAGCCCCACAGATGGATCCCTGTCCCAGGGAACACCCAAACAGCCCAGCCAAGCAGGATCCCACCAGGAAGTCTCTTCCAGGACCCAGCAGGACAGGAGGGGACCCACCAGGGAATCCCTCTCCCAGCTCTTCCCATCCCAGCCCCTCCCCTGCCGGGGTTATCCCCTCTCCCAGCTCTTCCCCATCCCAGCCCCTCTCCTGCCGGGGTTATTCCCTCTCCCAGCTCTTCCCATCCCAGCCCCTCCTCTGCCGGAGTTATTCCCTCTCCCAGCTCTTCCCATCCCAGCCCCTCCCCTGCCGGGGTTATCCCCTCTCCCAGCTCTTCCCCATCCCAACCCCTCCCCTGCCGGGGCTATCCCAGCACACGGGTTAGTGCCAGACGGACAGGGGGTCAGTGGGAAGCGCGGCCGGAGCGGGATGGACCCTCGGGATTGGGATGGGTTAGGCACGGGGTCTGCCGTGGCTCCTCCGGGGACCCCGGGATGGATCCCCCACCCCCCAGAGCCGAGGGGTTCCCACACCCCCCCCAACCAGGAGGGGTTTGGGGGGGATAAGTGTTGGGGGGGTCACTCTGGTTTTCCCAAGGAAGAAGCCACGACAGATTCCCGGGGTTAGGAAGAGGCGAAGCTCGGAGCGTTCCGGGACAGGGGAAGGGCAGAGCCCTGGAATTCCGGGCGGCACGGGAGGGATTTCACCTGCGGGGGCCTCTGAGACTCCCCTGGATTCCCTCAGGAGCCACCCTGGATGTCTGATGGGTGCTGGTTTTAAAGGAACGGAGCCAGGAAGGGGGGATGGAGGAGTTGGAAATGGCAGAGGGAAAAGGGATCGGAGCAGAGCGAGGCCAGGGGGGAATCCGGGAGGTCCGGGGGGGGTTTGGGGGGATTATCAGGAAAAAGGGGAAGGGGAGGTGCTGGGAGAGCTTGCAGGGAATTCCAGGGAAAAGGGGGAGGGTCGGTGCAGCCCAGCAGGAGCCGGAACCCTCGGGAAGAGCCGAGGAGGAGCAGCAGGAGGAGGAAGGAGGGGGAGAAAAGAGTTCCTTTAAAACCGGCTGGGTTTGGTGAGGAACCGGAGGGTTCCGGGGCTCCCGGAGCTCCCAGCCCGAATTCCCGGCTCTCCCCTTCCCGGCACCATCAGAACCCGGTGGGATGGGGTGGGGGGGATTCCCTGGGTTTTCCAGAAACCCCTGGATGGCGCAGCGGGAGAACGGAAGCGTCTGGAGTCGGGAAAAGGCGATGCCGGGACAGGAATTCCCGGAGCGGGAAGAGCGGGACACGGTGGGGGGGTTTCCCCGGGCACCGCCGGGAATTCCGGCGGCCTCGTCAAATCTGTCTTTTGGGGGAAAAAAAGGAGCCTCCAGGGCAGCTGGAATGGGAAATTCCCTGGCCAGTGCCAGGGAGCTTCACCTGCCTCTGGCTCCCGCTTCGTCCGGCGGCAGGAGCCACGCGGTCATCCCGCTTTTCTTCCCCCGGGGAGACACCCACCCCGAGGCTGTGAATCCCAAAAACTGGGGGCAGTTCCTGAGGGGCAATTCCCTCTCAGACACTTCCGTTTTCCCGGAGCAGCGGGATTGGGATCCCCCCCCACCCCCACCCCCCGCCCCGAGGGGATCCCTGGATCCCGGACAGGGAATTGCATCCCAGGAGTGAGCACGCTGAGGAACGACCTCAAGCTGGGAGCCAAGGAATTCTGGGAAGGTCAGGACTCCGCCTCAAATCCCAAGAAAAATGGGAATTTGGGGACAGAAAGCACTTCCAGCCCTCCCTCTCCATGCATTCCCAAAGGAACTCCCTCCACAAGGGAATCCCATCCCACCACAGCAGCAGCTCTGGGCCAAATCAGGAACATTTCGGCTTCCCAGGGGCCAGGAAAAGCCGGTGGGAGCGGAATCCCAGGATCCAGCTCTCTCTGTCCCAGGTCCGGGGATCGCCCCCCAAGCCCATTTTTGTTTTTCCAGCTGTGGGGAAGAGCCAGGAGCGGGCAGGGATCCCCCTGGGAATGCCACCCTCCTCCTCCCGCCAGCCCAGCGTGCTCCCTCCTGGGCAGGGGGGTCGGGAATTGCTGTTCCCGGCTCTGTCCCGCTCCACGGTACTTACCAGGATCTCCCCCTTGGGGTGTGCAGGGTTAAGGGGGTTGGGGGAAGGGGGGGAGAGGGAAAGATGGGGGAAAAAAGAAATGTAGGATGAGGAGAGACAGGAGAGGGAAGGGAGAGAGCGGGAAGCACAAGAAGGGGAAGGGGGAAAAGCGGAAAAACAGCAGAAGAAAACCCGTTACATGCTATTAATGGTCATTCCCAGCGTTAAATCCCTCGGAGCGGCTTTCCGGAGGGACACAGGGCCTGGAGGCCACGGGAGGGGCAAGGGACACCCCCACCCCACCCCACCCCAACACCCCCTTGGAAGCACTGGGGGGGACACGGATTCCAGAGTCCTCCTGGAGCCCAATCCCTGAGCCAGGATGGGGCAGGAGAGACACAACTTCCAGGACATCCCGGTGTGCTCCCAGTCCCCAGTCCCTGAGCCAGGATGGGATGGGGAGGGGACACGGATTCCAGGACATCCCAGTGTCCTCCCCCACCCCCAGGGCTGGGCTGGGTCCCCCCCAGCAGCTCCTCCCGCCCGGTTTGTCCCAGATCCCGCTGATCCGAGCCGGGAATGCTGCTCCCACTCTGCCCCAGAGCTCCGGCCTTCCCGCCTCCATCCCTGGCCCTAAATCCACACAGTTATGGATCAATGGACTGGGATCCTGGATAAGGATCGACTGGGATCCCGGTTAGGGATTGACTGGGATCCCGGTCAGGGCTCGCTGCCGCAGGGGGATATCCTGGAGGAGCAGGAGGAGGAGCAGGAGGAGGAGGAAGGGCGGGAGCCTCCGGCTGTACCTGGTTGGGGATCGCCCTCTTCTTGTTGGTCTGCGTGTTCCTCTGCTGAGCGCTGCAAAAGGGGGAGGGGGGAAAAAAAAAAGAGGGAATTTTTTGAGGCCGAGGGAAGGGAGAGAGCCGAGCGAGGGCCACCACACGATTCCCGCCCGGAACGCCGCGAGGATGAGCTGCTCCAAAGGGGGAAGCCCGTCAGGTGGGATTCCAGAGCCCCTTCCCGAGGTTTGCCCAGGACCGGGTGCAGAGGTAGGAGGAGGAGAGAGGGGGGGAGGACGCGGACACCGGGATCTCCTTCCTCATGGAACCCAGGAATTCCAGGGAGGGGAGGAACTCGCAGGAGAGGAAAACACCAAGTGCAGCAGATTCCGCTGGCGGATTCCCAAGGGAATCGTGGCGGGCCCCGGGACCACCGAGAACCAGGAGGCCTCGCTCCCGAAAACACCTAAATCCCTCGGGATCGGGAGTGGGATCGGGAGTGAGCGTTACCTGCAGCGGAGGGAAAGCTACCTGTCTCTCCTGAGCACCGGGGGGACGGGGCGAGCGGGGCGGAACCGTTAGTCAGGAGCGGGAACAAAATCCAGGAACACCGTTAGAATCCCCAGTCCCGCCGGGAGCAGCGGTTCCCGAGCTCCCGCCCCTGGGAATTGGGGTGGGGGGATCTCATCCCTGACCTGCAGGGATTCCAGGGGTGATGGAGGATAGGGGGGGTGGTTTGGGGAACTGCTCTCTGCCTGCCCTGATCCCGACATTCCTCCCGAATCCCTGGGCACGGGAACGCTGGCTGTGGAGGGGGATGCTCTCCAAGGGCTCGAGGAGAAGCTCCAGGCTCCCAAAATCCAAGGTTGGGAAGTGGTGGGAGGAGAAGCTCCGGGCTCCCAGTTCCGAGAGCTGGACCGGGAGGGGAAGTTCCCTGGCTCCCAGATCCAAGGAGGAAACTGCCCAGCTCCCAATCCCAAAGCTGACTGGGAGGAGAAGCTCCCCAGTTCCCAGATCCAAAGGGGAAGCTCCTGAATCCAAAGGGGAAGCTCCCCAGCTCCCAGATCCAAAGGGGAAGCTCCTGAGCTCCCAGATCCAAAGGGGAAGCTCCCTAGGTCCCAAATCCAAAGGGAAGCTCCTGAGCCCAAAGGGGAAGCTCCCCAGCCCCCAAATCCCAAAGGAAAGCTCCCCAGCCCCCAAATCCAGGCGGGAAGCTGCCCAGCCCCCAGATCCAAGCAGGAATCTCCCCAGCCTCCAAATCCAGGGGGGAAGCTCCTGAGCCCAAAGGGGAAGCTCCCCAGCCCCCAAATCCAGGTGGGAATCTCCCCATCCCCCGGATCCAGGCAGGAATCTCCCCATCCCCCGGATCCAGGCAGGAATCTCCCCATCCCCCGGATCCAGGCAGGAATCTCCCCCCGGGGGCTGCGGGAAGGGGGTCCTGCCGCCGGTACCCACCCGGTCGCCACGTGCTGCTCAGTGAAACAGCTGGGGCGGGACAGGATCGGAGGAGTCCGGAGAGACAGGGAGAGGTGACGGATCCCAGGGAAAGCAGCAGAGAGCAGGAGAGAGGAGGAGGGAACCCCACCAGAGGCGGAAAGGCAGAGACGGGAGAGAAAGAAAAGAGAGAAAAAAAAACCAAAACAAAAAAGAGGGAAAAAGAGAAAAGAGCAGGAAGAGTGTGGGGGATTTTAAGGAGCGGGAGGGGGCTCCGGGTCAGAGCTCTGGGGGTTCCGGAAGGTTCCCGGCAGGTGGGAGGCCGGAAAACAGTGGCTTTCCTCTGGGACACGGGACAGGGAGCAGTGCCTGCTCTGTTCCAGCTCCAGGGGACGGGATGAGGGCCATTCCAACAGCCTGAACCGCGGGATTTCATCCCAGGTCCTGTGCCTGGGGCTGGACGGTCCCGTCCCGGCTCTTCCCGGCCCTCAGAGCTCCCCAATCCCGAGGGAACCGCCTGCCAAAGGGGCTGGGGGGGGTTTGGTGGGAGAGGACGGGCGGGAGAGACTCCAACCTTCCCATCGCTGATCCCAGGATAAACACAACCCCCTCCCCAGGCTGGGATGGGAGCACAAACCTCGCTGATGGAGAATTTGGGATTCATCCCCCCCCATCCCCCCGGAAAAAAGGACTCACTTGGCAAATCCGATGAAATCCTCGTGGTTGGTGTTGATGTAGGAGAGCTCGATGTCGATCAGCAGCAGGATCTGGAGGGATCAGGGAGGGTGGGAATTCCCACAGAGCACCAGGGAATGCGCGGGGGGGGTCGGGATGGGGCGGGAGGGCCCGGGATGGGATGGGATGGGGTGGGATTGATGGGATGGGATGGGTGGGGTGGGATTGATGGGATGGGATGGGATGGGATGGGATGGGATGGGATGGGATGGGATGGGATGGGATGGGATGGGATGGGGTGGGATGGGGTGGGATGGGATGGGATGGGGTGGGATGAGATGGGATGGGATGAGATGGGATGGGATGGGATGGGATGAGATGGGATGGGATGGGATGGGATGGGGTGGGATGGGATGGGATGGGATGGATGGATGGGATGGGGTGGGATGGGATGGAATGGGATGGATGGATGGGATGGGATGGGGTGGGACTGATGGGATGGGATGGATGGGAGTGGGAGGGGATGGGATGGGATTGATGGATGGGATGGGATGGCCCTGGGAATGAGCTCACCTGGTCCTTGGTCTTGCCCTCGCGCTCCCGGATGTGGGTGGTGACGATCCGCTCCGTCTCCTCCCGCAACCTGGGGTAGGAACCGAGCTGAAAAGAGAGGGAGAAGGCCGGGGAAAAACCGCTGCGGAGGGACCGCGGCAGCGCCGGGATCCGTTGGGATCCGCCAGGATCCACCGGGATCCGCTGGGATCCACTGGAATCTGCCGGGATCCGCTGGGATCTGCTGGGATCCGCTGGGATCCACCGGGATCCAGGCACAGGGCACGGGCCCCGGCCCTGCCGCGGGGACACGGACTGGGTTCTCCAAGAAATCCACCCCAATCCCGGTCAGTCCCATACTGGTGTTACTGGTGCAGTCAGTCCCATACTGGTGTTACTGGTGCAGTCAGTCCCTTCCTGGTGTTACTGGGGTAGTCAGTCCCTTTACTGGTGTTATTGGTGCAGTCAGTCCCTTACTGGTGTTACTGGTGCAGCTACTCCCTTACTGGTGTTACTGGTGTGACCCCTACCTGACCAGTGCACTGCCACACAGTGGTGTCACTGGTGTTACTGGTGGGACCAGTACCTTACTGGTGAGGAGCTCCCAGGTGTCCCTGTCACTGGTGTTACTGGTGGGACCAGTACCTTACTGGTGAGGAGCTCCCAGGTGTCCCTGTCACTGGTGTTACTGGTGGGACCAGTACCTTACTGGTGCACTGGCGCACGGTGTTGATGAGCTCCTGGATGACGAGGTCGACGCATTTCAGGCACGGCTCCTTCAGCTTCACCACCTGCTTCTTCACGATGGCCTCGAAGGCCAAATCCGGCGTGAACAGCCCCGTCCTGGGGGGGGAACGGGGGGGTCAGCCCGGCAGGGACCCCGGGAGGGCAGCCCCAGATCCTGGAGAGAGCCAGTGCCTCCTCTGGGAGAGCAAATCCCACCTTGGGAGAGCAAATCTCACCTCAGGGCAGCAAATCCCACCTTGGGAGAGTAAATCCCACCCCGGGAGAGCAAATCCCACCCCAGGAGAGCAAATCCCACCCTGGGAGAGCCATTCCCTGCTCTGGGAGAGCCATTCCTCTTCTCCAGGAGAGCGAATCCCACCTCAGGGGAGCAATTCCCTGCTCTGGTAGAGCACTCCCACCCCAGGAGAGCAAATCCCACCTCCTGGAGAGGAATTCCCTCCTCCTCAGAGCAACTGCCTCCTCCAGGAAGGCAACTCCCTGCTCCAGCAGAGCCATTCCCGCCTCCATTCCCAGCACAGACGTCCTTCCCAGGGCTGGGAAGCTCCCACCACCCCTTTTCCCCCCATGGAGCAGGGAAGTGGCTCCAGGGCAGGATCCAGGCTGGATACTTGCCTCACCCCGTGGATGTTCTTGATGGCGTAGCTGATCTCCCTCCTCAGATCCTTCTCGTCGAATTCCATCTGCCCCGGGGGGGAGAGGAGGAGCAGTCGGGATCATCCCGGGATCACCATCCCAGGATCCCCACACCCCCCTGGGTGCACCAGCAGGGGCTGCTCCATTTTACTGACCCCAAACACTGAGATTTTCAGGGAATCAGGGAAGGGTTTGGGTTGGAAAAGCCCCCTCTCCCACCGTTCTCCTGGCACTGCCAAGGTCACCACTGAGCTGTGTCCCTGAGTGCCACATCCACGGGGTTGGGGCACTCCCAGACCCTTCTCCTGCTCTCCAGACCCTCCTCCTGCTCTCCAGACCCTCCTCCTGCTCTCCAGACCCTTCTCCTGCTCTCCAGACCCTTCTCCTGCTTTCCAGACCCTCCTCCTGCTCTCCAGACCCTTCTCCTGCTCTCCAAACCCTTCTCCTGCTCTCCAGCCCCTTCTCCTGCTCTCCAAACCCTCCTCCTGCTCTCCAGACCCCTCTCCCCACTATTCCTGGTGGGAGCTGGGATTCCCTCGGCCACCCTGGCCACGCTGCTGGCCCATTTTCCCAGCACCTTCCCCCAAATCCTTCTCCCCCAGCCAGAGCAGGGCTCGGGGTGACACCACAGGCCTCACCTCTGCCCAGCACAGCAACAACAGCTCCAACCCAAACATTCCCTGCCTCTGGAATCGCCTCTGGGAAGGGGCAGGCCCCCTAGGGGCACATCCCCCCTCCAAATCTGCGCCAGCCCCACCTTCACGAGCTCAAAGGGGAACCTCTCGTGGAAAATCCGGTTGATCCTGGCACCCCCGGAGAGCTCCAGAGTGTCCACCTGGTCTCCCGAGCCCTCGATCCGCTTCTCGAAGTCCACACCGAACTGCTGGACCATCCTGGAAGGAAAAACAGGATTAATAAAAGGAAAACTCCCCCAGTTCCTCCAGCTGGGGAAGGAGAACCGAAAATCCCACTTTTCCTGCAATCCTGGGGGAGGGTCTGACAGGGAGAGAGAACCGAAAATCCCACTTTTCCTGCAATCCTGGGGGAGGGTCTGACAGGGGGGGAGAAAACCAAAAATCCCACTTTTCCTGCTGTTCTGGGGGGGAGGGTCTGACAGGGGGGGAGAACCAAAAATCCCACTTTTCATGCCGTTCTGGGGGGAGGGTCTGCCAGGGAGGGACGTGGCCAAGGCTTTTCCAATTCTGACAGCAAACCCTTCCTGCTGGAATGCCCAGCCCGATCCACAGGGATGCTCCGTGGGCATTCCTGGGACAGCCAGAGCCCTTCCCAGAGCAGAGCCACGGGATCTGCACTCCGGGAACACTCCTGGGGCGGGAGAGGCGGGAAGGGAGGGGATGGGAAGGGAGGGCAGGAGGAGGAACCTACTGCAGCAAGGCTTTGGTTTTGCGCGTGGGGTCGTCGGGGCGGAAGTTCTTGTACTCCTCCACCTCCTTCTCCAGGGACAGCAGCTGGCTCTGCAGTTTGCTGCGCAGCGAGGGCAGCGTCTCGCGGATGTGGTTGGTGAGTTGCTGCGGAGGGGACGGGGGCAGGGGCTGAGCACGGGGGGCACACAGGGCGGGGGCAGAGGCTGCTCCCGCTTTTCCCGGGCGGGAGGAGGGTCGGGAAGGGCCCATCCCAGCCCATCCCACCTGGTTGAGGACCCTCTGGAGGTGGGGGGTGCCCATGCGCTCGGCCATGTGCCGGTAGGCCGGGTGGGACAGGAAGAACTTGCGCTCGGCCGCCAGCGCGGCCCGGATGTCCTTCTTGCCGTCGATGTCCTTCTGGCTGCGGTTCACCACCCCGATGTACCCTGCAGCGGGGGAGAACGGGGAAAGGGAGGGAGAACGGGTTAGAGAATGTGGGGAAAGGGTGGGAGAACGTGGGGAAGGGGTGGGAGAACGGGTTAGAGAATGTGGGGAAAGGGTGGGAGAACGGGTTAGAGAACATGGAGAAGGGGTGGGAGAAGGTGGGGAAGGGGTGGGAGAACGTGGAGAAGGGGTGGGAGAACGTGGGGAAGGGGTGGGAGAACGTGGGGAAGGGGTGGGAGAACGTGGGGAAGGGTGGGAGAACGTGGGGAAGGGTGGAGAACGGGTTGGAGAACGTGGGGAAGGGGTGGGAGAACGTGGGGAAGGAGTGGGAGAACGTGGGGAAGGGGTTGGAGAACGTGGGGAAGGGGCAGGGGCGATGGGCACGCGCTCCCCACTGCGGGTGGAGGGGTCGGGGGGCCGGGGAGCGACTCAAGGGGGACACGGGACTTGAGGGGGGACACCCAGAGTGACCCGAGGGGGACACCCAGAGCGAGCCCAGCCCCCCCTGTACCTCTCCGTAAGGGCAGCAGTTTGTTCTCCAGCACGTCCCGGGCGTCGGTGCCCTCGTCCATCAGGTCCAGCTTGGTGATGACCCCGATCGTCCTCAGCCCTGCGGCAGCAGAGCGAGCAATCAGCCAATCAATCAACCAGTCAATCCCAATTGATCACATCCAAACGAGCCCGGAACCCAACAGCCCCTCTGGCTGCTACGACAGCCCCCCCCACACCTCCCGGCCCCCAGAGAGACCCCTCATGACCCTCCGACCTTGAGGATCGACCTCCTTGGCCATCTTGAGGGCGTCGGAGTTGGCCAGGTCCATGTTGGCCGGGGTGACGGCCAGGATGAGGCTGCTCTCCCTGCTGATGAACTGCAGGATCATGTCCCTGATCTGGAACTCGATGTCCTGGGGCTGGTCCCCCACCGGCACCTTGGTGATGCCGGGCAGGTCGATCAGGGTCAGGTTCAGCACTGGGAAGGGGTGGAATCAGCAGGGTCAGAGGGGGTTGGGAAAGGCCCCACCTCGTCACCCAGAGCCAGGGCAGCACATCCAGGCTCTTCTCAGGGGTGGTGACCCCACCTCCTCCCCGGGCAGCCCCTCCCGAGGTCTGACCGCTCTGCCCGGGAAGGATTCCTTGCGGATCTCCGACCCGAACCCGCCCTGGCGCAGCTCAGGACGGTGCCCTCTTGTCCTGGGAGCAGAATCTGACCCCTTCCCCGGCTCCCCCCTCCTGTCAGGGGGCTGTGCAGAGCCAGAAGGTCCCCCCTGAGCCTCCTCCTCTCCAGGCTGAGCCCCCCCAGCTCCCTCAGCCGTTCCAGTCCCTCAACACCGTCCCCCCCACACCGAGGGGCTCCGAACCGGGCCGGTGCCCGGCCCAGGGGCAGGATCTGCCCCTCCCTGCTCCTGCCGGGCTCCTTTCCCTCGTTTTCCCGGTGTTCTGCCCCTCACCGTGGGGCGAGTAGACGCGCAGGTTGATGGGCACGGGGGAGATGCCCTTGTTGGTGCCCGTCACCCGGTCGGTCTCGGCCTCGATCTCCTGCCGCACCTCGTCGAAGTCCGTGAACTTCTTGGACTTGCAGTGCAGGAACTCGGCATACTCTGCAAAGGGACGGGGGGAAAAGGCTTGGGAATGAGGAATTTGTGGCGCCCCCGGAGCGGGGAGAGGGAGCGGCGGGGCCGGGAGATCCCGATCCGGGGCTGGGGAATGGGGAGGGGGATGGAGAGCGGGAAAAGGGGATGGAGAGCGGGAAAAGGGGATGGAGAGCAGGGGAAGGGATGGAGAGCGGGAAAAGGGGATGGAGAGCGGGAAAAGGGGATGGAGAGTGGGAAAAGGGGATGGAGAGCGGGAAAAGGGGATGGAGAACAAGAGGAGGGGATGAAGAACACGGAGAAGGGGCTGGAGAGCAGGACAAGGAGCTGGAAAACCAGTGGGAGCAGCTGAGGGAGCTGGGGGGGCTCAGCCTGGAGAAAGGAGGCTCCAGGGGGACCTTCTGGCTCCCCACAATTCCCTGGAAAGAGGGGGGGGAGCTGGAGGAGGGGGATCAGTCCCTTCTCCCAAGGGCCGGGACGAGAGGAAACGGCCTCAGGTTGTGCCGGGGGGAGGTTCAGGTTGGAGCTGGGATCAGGGCTCCCTGGATCCTGAGCCGCCCCAGGAAGAGGGATTTCAACAGAGCAGGGGCCAGGAGTGGATGGTGCAACTTCCTTCCTCCTTCCCTGGGAGACGTGGGAGGGAAAACCCCACCCTGTGCCAGGGCTGGAACACCTGATCCAGGCGTCCTCATCCCCCTGGACACCTCCTACCCTATCCTGGAGATCTTATCAGCCCCCCTGGACACCTCCTACCCTATCCTGGAGATCTTATCATCCCCCTGGACACCTCCTACCCTATCCTGGAGATCTTATCAGCCCCCTGGACACCTTCCCCTACCCTGGAGATCCCATCACCCATCCCATCAGCCAAAGGCCACCAAAGACTGGTTTTTCCCAACAGCTTCCCGTGCTCCCAGGCCCTGGGAATCCCTGGCAATCCCACGGGCAGGTCACTGGGACAAAGGTCCAAAGGTCAGCAGACGTTGCAGAGCGGGACTGATCCCAAATCCCAGATTTTTTTTGGGCAGAGGGAGCACCCGGCTCGTGCAGGGGAAGGGGGTGAAGGAATTGCCCCTGGAGATCGGGATGGGGGATGCCAGACAAGCGCAGCCAGTCGGGAAAATGAGTCATCCCTTGGTGTTCCCTGGCATTCCTTCAGGCCCTGTGGAATTCCCTGGCATTCCTTCAGGCCCTGTGGAATTCCCTGGCATTCCTTCAGCCCCTGTGGAGTTTGGAGTTCCCTGGCATCCCTTCAGCCTCCCTCTCCCAGTGTTTTCCCTGGCATTCCTGACTCTGGTGTGTGTAAATCACGCAGGCTTTCTCCCGGAATTCCCTGTTTTCCAGCCCCGTACCTGTCTTGGAGAAGATGAGCTGCAGGATGAGAGGCCGGCGAGTGACGATTCCGGAGCCGCGGGGGAGGAAATCCCTGGAAAGGGATGGAAAGGCGTTCAGGGCCGTGGTTCAGTCGGGGAACCGACCCTGCCGATCCCCCCCTGATTTGGGGGGCACCGGGAAAGGGGCTCGGGCACAACGTGGGATCAATCCCTGCTCTCCTGGAGGAGGGAAAAGGCTGTTCCGGGGAATCAGGAAAGCAGGAATTAAGTTAAAACCCCAAAACTTAAACACCCCGATAACCCAGAGGGGGAGATGAACCCACCACTGCCTCTTCACTCCCTAAAATCCCCCAGTTTCACCCCATTTCCCTAAAATCCCCCAGTTTCACCCCGTTTCCCTAAAATCCTCCCTGGTGCAGAGCAAAACAAGGCACAGATCCCACGGAATTCCTCCTGGCACCGGCGCCTGGAGCTTTGGAGGGGCAGGGGGAAGGGGTTCTGCCTGGAAAAGGGGCTGCCCCCATGGGAAGTCCGCACCAGGGCTGTCACCCCCGCCCTCTTCCCGGTCCGAGGGCGACGGGAACGGCACAGGGAAGCTCCCTCGTGCCGGGAAACGGGAGCGATAAGAGCTCCCTGGGAGCGGCTCCGGGTGGATTTACAGCTCCAGGAGGGACAGGACAGGTGGATTCCCCGCTGGGGACCGAGGGTGGACACCGTCACCGTCACCGTCACCGTCACCGTGCCCAGGGAGCGGCTGTGCCGGGAATGGCCCGGCCTGGCTGTCGGGAATGGCAGCAGGGACACCCCGAGATCCCGACCCCTGTGCCCAGCAGAGCCCGGAATGCTCTGGGAATGCTCTGGGTTTATCTCCCGGGAAAAGCACTTCCTGCCCGACCGGGCGGACGAGTCCCGCTGCTCCTCCGGGCGGGAACAGCCCCGGGAGGCTCCTGGGGGGGAAAAAAAGGGGGGAAAAGAAACCCCAGGGCAGGCCCAAAAAGCAGCCCCCCCAAACACGCTGAGCCCGGGACAGGGAGCGTTGATCCCGCAGGGAATGCCGGTCCCGCAGGGAATGCCAATCCCACAGAGAATGTCGGTCCCAGGGTGACCCCCTGGGATCCAACAGCCCAGGGCTTTCCTGCTCCCTCGTCCCAGCCCCAGCTCGGCATTCCCTGCTCCATCTGCTCCATGGGGAGGGCTGGGGGGGAACGGGGAGCACCCCCAGGGCGTTCCCTGCGGGAAGGAGTGACGTGATCCGGGCTGGCCCCGTGTCCGGGGTCGGCAGGATCCGAACCCTGCAGTGACGCGGGAATGTCCCCGGGAACATCCCCGGGACGGTCCCGGGGCTGGCGGGAACTGACGAAGGCACAGCCGGATCCTCCCCCCACACCTGGATCCAGGTGTGCCCAGGACACAGGGACACAGGGATACAGGGACAAAGGGACACAGGGACACAGGGACAAAGGTCACTGGGTGGAGGAAGTGCCTTGGGAACATCCTATTTCCAGGCAAATGTCCCCTGGGGAAGCACCCGAGGGTGACCTCCACCCTGCCCGATTCCTGCCTGTCCCTACCTGATCCCTGCCTGTCCCTGCCTGATTCTTACCTGTCCCTTCCTGTTCCTGCTTGTCCCTACCTGTTCCTGCTTGTCCCTACCTGATTCCCACCTGTCCCTGCCTGTCCCTACCTGATCCCTGCCTGTCCCTGCCTGATTCTTACCTGTCCCTTCCTGTTCCTGTTTGTCCCTACCTGTTCCTGCTTGTCCCTACCTGTTCCTGCTTGTCCCTACCTGATTCCCACCTGTCCCTGCCTGTCCCTACCTGTCCCTGCCTGTTCCCACCTGTCCCTGCCTGTCCCTACCTGTCCTTGCCTGTCCCCACCTGTTCCTGCCTGTCCCTACCTGTCCCCACCTGTCCCTGCCTGTCCTTGTCTCATCCCTGTCCCATCCTTGCCTGTCTCTGTCTCATCCCAGCCCGTTCCCTCTCCAGCCCCAGTCTCCCTGCCCAGCAACCCCACCCGAGGCACCTGTTACCCAAAATCCCGGGAAAAGGCGCTCCCAGATCGGGGTGAGGGTTCTGGGCCACGGCCACCCCCAGTCCTGGCTCTCCTTCCGTCCCGGCCGTCCCGAGGGCTCATAAAGCCCCATTGAGGTCGGGATCCGCCGGGATCGTCCCCACCCCCGGCCCACAACGGCTCCATTGTCCCCAGGGCTGGCTCTGGGAAGGGCCCTCCTGGCTGGTGGGATTTGTGGGACGCTCCTTAATCCCACTCCCCATCCCATTTCCCCGCTGGGCTCCGCTCCCTGCCCGCTGTTCCCGTTAACCCCAAGGACCAGCCAGGCCTTCCCCCACGGAGCAACTCCAGCCCGACTGGCACCCAGGGGGGTTCCCTGAATCCCGAGCCTCGGTCCCTCCGCAGGGATTTTGGGCCTGTGAAGGCTCCTCGGGATCCTCCTCCCGGGCACGTGTGTGTTTTGGGGCTAAAAACCACCAAAACGGGCCACCCGGCACAGAGCTGGGTTCCTGAATGGATCCAGGATCCCCCCATGGATCCAGGATCCCAGTATGGATCCAGGACCCCAATACAGATCCAGGACCCCACTATGGATCCAGGACCCCAATACAGATCCAGGACCCCAATATGGATCCAGGTTCCCCATATGGATCCAGGTTCCCCATATGGATCCAGGTTCCCCATATGGATCCAGGTTTCTGACTCAGATCCAGGATCCCAACACAGATCCAGGTTCCCACATGGATCCAGGATCCCAATATGGATCCAGGACCCCAATATGGATCCAGGTTTCTGACTCAGATCCAGGCTCCCCACACGGATCCAGGCTCCCCACACGGATCCAGGCTCCCCACACGGATCCAGGCTTCCCAGTGGCTCAGGAAAGCCGGGATACAGCCGGACGAGCCAAGCCAAGCCCCCAGCAGGCCGTCGATGCCGGGTCGATGCTGGAACAGCCCCGAGGCCTCGGCTCGTCCCGGCCATCGGAATCTGTGACCCAGCCCCGGCAGGGACGCTCGATCTGCCGCCCTGGCACCGGTTCTGGGGCCCTGGCACCAACTGGGGGGCCCTGGCACTGACTGGGGGGCCCTGGCACCGGCTTGGGGGGCCCTGCCCGCCCACGGGAGCCACCCCGGGGCACAGACCCCGACGTTGCCCCCTCATGGGTGGGGTAACAACGACCCCCGCCCCTCGCCACGGGAATGCCGAGGATCCCGGCGGGATCTGAGGGCTGGAGGTGACCCAGGGCTGGAGGTGACCCAGGGCTGGAGGTGACCCAGGGCTGGAGGTGACACGGGCATCCCGAGGGGTAATTAGCTGTAATTAGCACGAGCTGCACAACGAGGTGGGCGAGGATTCCCGGACGGAGCCGGCCGGGCAGATCCAGACCCCGCTCCGACCCCTCGAGGACACAAAGGCTTCAATTAGCAGGGCCGGCTTTCCGGCCCTAATTACAGCCTGCCAAAATTCCCACCGGCAGGAACTCGGGAGGGGAGCAGGAGCTCCCGGGATAGGAGAGAGGGAAAGCCCAGTGGGGGCTTTTCCAGGGGAAGAGGGCCGGTCCTGTGGGTGGGTTTTTTGGGAATGACAAGGTTCAGGGCAGGGCAGGCCGGGGGTTCCGGTTGTCACTGTCACGGGATCCCAGGGCAGGATGTGGAGCGAGGAAGCGGCAGCCTCGGATCAAAGGGCCGGGAGGCTGGGATAGGCCAGGAGAGGCAGCAGGAACGGGGAGCAAACAGCAGGAACGGGCTCTGCGTGGATGGAACGAGCACCCAGGGGCTGGAGGAGCTGATCCACAGGCTGGGGGAGGGAGGGGAAGGCAAAGGGGCTGGGGAGGATTTGGGGAGGGTTTTGAGGAGGATCCCTCCCCAGGACGGGCTCTGCTCCCCGTTATCGGGGCGGCCCCACCCAGCCTGGGCGTGGGGGTCCCACCCAGAGCCCCATCTGTGCCCGGGATCCCCGAGCCCGGCCCGGCCCCTATCTCGGGGTCACAGGGGGTCCTGTCACCCCCCAGCCTCCCCCTCGGGGATCCAGAGTGCCACACCCGCCGCTCCAGCTGCTCCTCGGCATCCCGGGGGTGTCCCGGGGGTATCCCTGAGGGTATCCCGGCAGGGACACGGCCCTGTCCTGTGTTGAAGGCCAAGGGACGGGTCCTGCTGGGGTGGGGTCCCCCCTGTATCCGTGGAGACCCCCGGAGACCCCCGTGTGCATGGAGACCCCCCCTGGAGCCCTGTGGAGTCCCCCGTGTCCATGGAGACCCCCCGTGTCCATGGAGACCCCCCGAGTTCCCTGTTCCCACGGAGACCTCCGTGCCCGTGCTGTCCCTTCCTTGTGTCCACGGAACCCCCCAAATCCACGGAGCCCCCCCATGCCCACGGAAACCCCGGTGTCCCTGGAACCCCTCAAATCCACGGAACCGCCCCATTCCCACGGAGCCCCCCCGCGTCCCCGGGGCCGCCCCTGCCCCTTTCCCTTACGCCATTTCCGTACTTCCCCCCCCCTCTCCCCGCAGCGCTCGGGCCCCGTCGCGCCCCTTTTTGCGCCCTTTTTTGCGCCCTTTTTTGCGCCCTTCGCGCAGCGCGGGCCCCGCTCGCTCCGGCCGCGCCCTTCGGGGCCGCGACCCCGCGACTCGCCCTGTTATTCCCCCCTCCCTTCCCCTTCCCCCCCCCCACTCCCGGAGCTCACCGGCCCACGAAGTTCTCGAGCACCGAGCTCTTGCCCGCGCTCTGCCCGCCCACCACGGCGATCTGCGGCAGGTCGAGGTGGCAGCTCTGGCCGATGGAGCTGAAGGCGTCCTGCAGCTTGTTGACCAGCGGGATGAGCTCCTCCATGCCGCGGTTCCCCATGGCGGGGCCGGGAGCGGCGGCGGCTCCTCCTGGCGGGGCCCGGGGCGGCGGCGGCGGCGGTGGCCAAACTTCCCCTCAGAGTCTCGCCATCCGGGCCCGCCCCCCCGCCCCGCCAGCGCCGCCGCCATTGGCCGGCCCGCCTGTCCGTCAAGCGCGCGCGGCGAGCTGAGCGGCGCGGGGAGCTGTCAATCACTGCGGGGGGCGGGTAAAGAAGCGACGGCGCTTTTTTAATTAGGTGCTCATCGCGTCGCTCATGATTCGCAGCCAATGGGAGCCGCGTCAGCTGAGGGGAATGGCGGTGCAGTCCCGCCCCGCTGCGGAGGTTCTGCTGTTTCATTGGTGAAAAAGGAAGCCGCTCAGGGCAAAGACCAATCAGCGCTCAGGGCGCACCGATGAGCCCGCCCTCCTCTCCCCAGCCCGCCCTCCCTTCTATTGGACAGCGCCACCGCCACTCCAACCGGGACGACCAAGCCGGCGGCGGCGAAGAGGAAAGGCCTCTCGTGATTCGCCAGCCGGCTGTCAATCAATGTTCTGTGCACGATGATTGGCTGCTGCGGCTCCTCCCGCCCGCCCCGGGCACATCCCGGGACCGTTATACGAACACAAAGAGCGACATTCCCGAGGCAAAGCCCCGGGGCCGAGACCCCTCCACGTACCCTGAGAGGCCGCCCCGGTGAGGGCAGCAGAGCCCGTTCCTGCCGTTTGCTGGGCTGGGGGGTGTCTCGGGTTGGACCCTCACCACAGGACCCAACATGGCGCCCGCGTTGCCCCGGTAACGGCCACTTCCGGCGTCGCTTCCGGTCGGCGAGCCCAAGATGGCGGCGCCCATGGCGGGCCCGGGCCCGGGGCCGCTCCCGGTGCTTCGCATCGTGGCCGAGTGCGGGCGGAGCCGCGCCCGGGCCGGGGAGCTGCGGCTGCCGCGGGGCACCGTGCCCTGCCCCGTCTTCATGCCCGTGGGCACCCGCGGCACCGCCAAGGGCCTCACGGCCGCGCAGCTGGCGGCGCTCGGCTGCCGCATCTGCCTCGGCAACACCTTCCATCTGGGCACGAGGCCGGTGAGCGGCGACGAGGGGGGGGGCAGAGGGTTTTATATCCTCCCCTCGGAGGCCCAAATTCCCAGCGGGAATTCCTTTCCGCCTTCCTTCCCACCTTCCCCCTCCGTCCCCGGGGCTCCAGGAGGCTTCCCAGCCCGCCCCGCCGCGTTCCCACATTCCCGCCGTGATTCCCAAGCTCCAGGTGACCCCTTTTCTCCCTCCCCCCCTCTCCCCCTGCAGGGCCCGGAGCTGATCCGACGTGCCGGGGGTCTGCACCAATTCATGGACTGGCCCCACAATCTGCTGACGGTGAGGGGGGGGCGGGACCCCCTCCTTAGGGGAGGGATGTGGGGACACCCCCGGGACCCTCCCCCGAACCTCGGGGGCTCCCTGACCCCCCCCCCATCCCCAATTTTGGGTGTGTTCTCCCCCCCCAGGACAGCGGGGGGTTCCAGATGGTGTCCCTGGCGCAGCTCTCGGAGGTGTCGGAGGAGGGGGTTCTGTTCCGACCCCCCCACGGCGGGGACGAGATCCTGCTGAGCCCGGAGAGATCCATGGAGATCCAGAACGCCCTGGGTGAGCCCCCCCACATCCGAGGGGAGGGGGTCCCACAGTGCCAGGACACCCCCAAACCCCCCCTGCCCCCCCCCAGGCGCCGATATCGCGATGCAGTTGGACGACGTCGTGAGCAGCACCACGACGGGGCCGCGGGTGGAGGAGGCCATGGACAGGTGGGGACCCCGGGACCCCCAGGGCCTGCAGGGACCCCCCCTGACCCCCACCCGTGCCCCCCAGGTCGGTGAGGTGGCTGGACCGCTGCGTGGCCGCTCACGGGCGCCCCGAGGAGCAGCTGCTCTTCGCCATCGTCCAGGGGGGGCTGGAGCCCTCCCTGCGCCAGCGCTGCATCCAAGGTGGGGCCTTCCTCAGCATCATCAGCATCCTCACCCCCTGGCCTTCCTCACCATCATCATCATCCTCACCCCCAGCCTTCCTCACCATCCTCATCATCCTCAACCCCAGCCTTCCTCACCATCGTCCTCATCATCCTCCTCACCCCCAGCCTTCCTCACCATCATTCTCGTCATCATCCTCACCCCTAGCCTTCCTCACCATTGTCCTCATCATCCTCACCCCTAGCCTCCCTCAGCATCATCAGCATCATCATCCTCACCCCCCAGCCTTCCTCACCCTCATCATCCTCAACCCCAGCCATACTCACCATTGTCATCATCTTCACCCCCCAGCCTTCCTCACCATCGTCATCATCATCATCCTCACCCCCCAGCCTTCCTCACCATCGTCATTCTCCTCACCCCCAGCCTTCCTCACCCTCATCATCCTCACCCCCTGGCCCTTCCTCACCATCACCATCATCCTCACCCCCAGCCTTCCTCACCATCGTCCTCATCATCATCATCCTCACCCCCAGCCATACTCACCCTCCTCATCCTCAACCCCAGCCTTTCTCACCATCATCATCATCCTCACTCTCCTCATCCTCACACTCTGGTCCTTCCTCACCATCATCCTCATCCCCTGGCCTTCCTCCCCATCACCATCATCCTCATCCCCTGGCCTTCCTCCCCATCACCATCATCCTCACCTCCCACCCTTCCTCCTGCTCCTCACCCTCCTCATCCTCACCCCCCACCCCCTCCCAGCCTTCCTCCCTCTCATCCTCATCCTCACCCCTGGCAGGGGGTGGTCCCGGGGGGGCTCTGGGGTGTCTGCAGGAGGTTCAGGGGTGTTCTGGGGAGGTTTGGGAGGTTCTGGGGAGGTTCAGGAGGTCCTGGGGAGGTTTGGGAGGTCCTGGGGAGGTTTGGGGGGTTCTGGGGAGGTTTCGGAGGTCCTGGGGAGATTTGGGAAGTCCTGGGGAGGTTTGGGAGGTCCTGGGGAGGTTTGGGAGGATCCTGGGAGGTTTGGGGACCCGGGGGTCCTGGGGAGGTTTGGGGGTCCTGGGGAGGTTTGGGGGTTCTGGAGAGGTTTGGGGTTCTGGAGAGGCTTGGAGGTCCTGGGGAGGTTCAGGGCTTCTGAGGAGGTTTGGTGGGTCCTGGGAGGTTTGGGAGGTTCTGGGGAGGTTTGGTGGGTCCTGGGGAGGTTTGAGGGACTCGGTGGGGTGGACGGACTCAGGGGAGGTCCGAGGGGGTTTAGGGGGGTCTGGGGGTGTCCAGAGGGGCACAGGGAGGTTCAGGGGGGGTCTCACAGCCCCCCCTCCTCAGCCATGACCCAGCGGGACGTGCCGGGCTTTGCCATCGGGGGCCTGAGCGGGGGCGAGGACAAGGCGCGGTTCTGGCGCGCGGTGAAGTTCAGCGCCGAGCGCCTGCCCCGGGACAAGCCCCGCTACCTCATGGGCGTTGGGTGAGTCTGGGGGGCTCCTGCCGCCTGCCCCGACCCCCCTCGGGGCGGGGGAGACCCCTCAAATCATCCCCACCCCCTCTGATTTGCATCATCCTCCTCCCAGCTACGCCACCGACCTGGTGGTTTGTGTGGCGCTGGGCTGCGACATGTTCGACTGCGTCTTCCCCACCCGGACCGCGGTAAGGGGGCTCTGGGGCGGGGTTTGGGGGGAGCTCTGCAGCCCTCCCAGGGTTTAGGGACCCCCTTGACCCCCCCCGTGTCCCCTCGCAGCGTTTCGGCTCCGCCCTGGTCCCCTGGGGGTCCCTGCAGCTGAAAAACCGACGCTTCGCCAAAGATTTCCGCCCCATCGACGAGAACTGCGCCTGCCCCACGTGCCAGAGGTGGGCTGGGGGGGCCGTTTAGGGGGGCTGGGGGGCTGCTCTGACCCTCCCCAGTGATTCAACCCCCCGACTCCCCTTCCCCAGGCACTCCCGGGCGTACCTGCACGCGCTGCTGCGCTCCGAGACGGCCGCGCTGCACCTGCTCACCCTGCACAACCTCGCCTACCAGGTGGGGCCGGGGCAGGGGGGCTGAGGGTGGTGTCTGGGGGTCTCACCCTCCTCTAACACCCCCCCTGACCCCCCTCTGCCCCTCCCAGATGAAGCTGATGGGCTCCATCCGGGAGAGCATCCTGAGGCAGCGCTTCCCGGAGTTCGTGCGGGAGTTCATGGACACCATGTACGGGGAGAGGGGGGCCCCCTGGGTCAGGGAGGCTCTGGCCTCTGTGGGCATCACCCTGGACTGACAGGGACCCCCCAATCCCTGGGGGGACCCCCAGACCCCTCTGTGCCCCCCCAATCCCTGGGGGGACCCCCAGACCCCTCTGCGCCCCCCCAATCCCAGGGGAACCCCCAGATCCCCTTTATGCCCCCCTGTGCCTCCCAACTCCCAGGAGGCCCCCCATCTCCCCTCTGTTTTCCACCTCCCCTCTCTTTTCTGTTCCCCTCTCTGTGTATTTTTGTACTTTTTTGTGCCTTTTTACTGCTTTGGGGTTTTTTAGGGGGTTGGAAATAAAGCCTTTGTGGGGAACAGCTCGTTGTGGCTCCAGGTGGGGCGGGGGGGCCCAAAACGGGTCAGAGGGGGGCAAAGGGGTCGGGGGGCCCCAAAATGGGTTGGGGGATGCATTTTGGGAACTCAGGAATGTCGGGGAGCGGGGGGGGGTGGGAAGGGGAAGCGACCTGCGTGGTGACACCTGCGTGGTGACACCTGCGTGGTGACAGCTGGGTGGCCAGGGTGACACCGGTGTGGCCACAGTGACATCTGTGTGGTGGCACCGACAGGGACACGGGGACACTGGGGTGGTGACATCTGCGTGGTGGCCACGGGGACACCGGGGTGGTGACATCTGTGTGGTGGCCCCGGTGTGGCCGCAGGAGGAAGTTTGAGGAGGGGGTGGAGCAGGTGGGGTCCCGGGAGGAGGAGGGTGGAAGGGGACAGGGGGGTTGGGGGTGGGGCTGGGGCCGGGTGTGGCACGTGCGTCACCTGTGCCCGCTGATTTCTGTCACCGCTGCCGGACACTGCGGCCACTGAGCCAGTGCCACCCGGGGCGGGATACTGGGAGCCACTGGGAGTGACCGGGAGCCACTGGGACTCGCCGTGAGTGACCGGGACACGCTGGGATAGGGTGGGAGCAGCACTTGGAGTAGCACCTAGGATCTACTGGGAGCCACTGGGAGTGACTGGGAGACACTGAGAAGGGCTGGAGCAGCACCTGGGGTTTACTGGGAGCCACTGGGAGTGACCAGGAGCCACTGGGACTCGCTGTGAATGACTGGGACACGCTGGGAAAGGGTGGAAGCAGCACCTGGAACAGAGACTGGGAGACACTGGGAGGGCTGGAGCAGTACCTGGGGTCTACTGGGAGACACTGGGAGTGACTGGGCGCCACTGGGAAGGGATGGAGCAGCACCAGGGGTTTGCTGGGAGCCACTGGGACTCGCTGTGAATGACCGGGACATGCTGGGAAAGGTGGGAGCAGCACCTGGAACGGAGACTGGGAGCCACTGGGAAGGGCTGGAGCAGCACCTGGGGTTGACTGGGAGCCACTGGGAGGAAGTGGGAAAGGACTGGGAAAGGCTGCGGGCAGTTCCTGGAATGAAGTGGGAGCAATCGGGAAAGGCTGTGGGAACTGGGGAGGAGTGGAAAAGGCTGAACCCTGCACCTGGGCAAACTGGGAACAACTGGGAGCAACTGGGAAAGGCCATGTGGCAAAACCAGAGGGACGAACTGGAAAAGCCCCGGGGTGCGCTGGGAGAACTGGGCAGAGCTGGACTCAGCCCCGGGCCCCCCCGTGGCTCCCCTGAGACCCCCAACTGGTTTGACTGGTGGAACTGGGCGGGCCCCAGCGGTGCCTCCAGCCCTTATCGCACCTCGAGGTGCCGGGAAGAGAGGGGAGGGAGAGGGGGACTCTGAACAGGGGAGGGAGAGGGGGACTCTGAACAGGGGAGGGAGAGGGGGACTCTGAACAGGGGAGGGAGAGGGGGACTCTGAACAGGGGAGGGAGAGGGGGACTCTGAAAGGGGAGGGAGAGGGGGACTCTGGAAGAGGGGAGGGAGAGGGCGACTCTGAACAGGGGAGGGAGAGGGTGGACTCTGAACAGGGGAGGGCAGGGCAGGGGCACCCAGGGACCCCCTGACACCGCAGGAGGGGGTGGGGGCAGGGGAGAGGGTGGGTGAGCAGAGGGGGGCCTGACAGGGGTGGGGGCTGTGGGGGTGTCTCGGTGCACCAGGTGGGTGCTGGGGGAGCGGGGGAGGTACCCAGCCAGTGGGATTTGGGTGCCATGGGATTGGCGTGTCCAGCCAGTGGGATTGGGGTGCCGGTGGGATTGGGGTGCCGGTGGGATTGGGGTGCCAGTGGGATCAGGGTGCCGGTGGGATTGGGGTGCTGGTGGGATTGGGGTGCTGGTGGGTGTGATTTGGGTGCTGACAGGATGAGGGTGATGGTTTGGTTTTGGGTGCCGGTGTGACGTGAGTACCGGTGTGATTTGGGTGCTGACAGGATCAGAGGGATGACTGGATTTGGGTGCTGGCGAGTGTGATTTGGGTGCTGACAGGACCAGGGTGCCAGTGGGATTGAGGTGCCAGGGGGATTGGGGTGCTGGTGGGTGTGATTTGATGCTGACAGGACTAGGGTGCCGGTGTGACTGGGCTGCCAGCAGGATGGGGGTGCTGGTGGGATTGGGGTGCTGGTGGGTGTGATTTGGATGCTGAAAGGACCAGGGTGCCAGTGTGACTGGGCTGCCAGCAGGATGGGGGTGCCAGTGGGATTGGGGTGCTGCCAGGACCAGGGTGCCGGTGTGACTGGGCTGCCAGCAGGAGGGGGGTGCCAGTGGGATTGGGGTGCTGGTGGGTGTGATTTGGATGCTGAAAGGACCAGGGTGCTGCCAGGACCAGGGTGCCGGTGTGACCGGGCTGCCAGCAGGATCGGGTGCCATGCCCACCCCGGTGCCGTGCCCGCCCCGAGCCCCCCTTTCTCCCTCCCGCAGGTGCCCCATGAAGCTCGGGTCGAGCTCCCGCCTGCTGCTGCTGCCGCTGGCGATGGCGCTGGCGCTGCTGGTGCTGCGGGAGCAGCGCCCGCCCGCCCAGGCGACGCCCAGCCCGGCCCCCCGGCCCCCGGCCCCCACCCCACCCGGCACCCGCTGCAGCCGCCGTACCCGCACCCCTACCGGTTCCTGCTGAACCACCCCGACAAGTGCCGGGCGCGGACGCCCTTCCTGGTGCTGCTGGTGGTGACGGCGCCGGCGGACACGGCCGCGCGCGACGCCGTGCGCCGCACGTGGGGCGACGAGGGCTCGGTGCCGGGCGTGCCGGTGCTGCGGCTCTTCCTGCTGGGCGTGCACCCCGTGTTCGGCGACGCGCTGCGGCCGGCGCTGCGCGAGGAGGACGAGCTGCACGGCGACCTCCTGCAGCAGGACTTCCTGGACACCTACAACAACCTGACGCTGAAGACGCTGATGGGGCTGGAGTGGGTGAGCCGCTTCTGCCCCGACGCCGCCTACGTGGTGAAGGCCGACCACGACGTCTTCCTCAACCTGGAGTTCCTGGTGCGGCGGCTGCTGCTGCCGCCCAAGCGGGGCTTCGTGACGGGCCACGTGTACCGCGGCACGGGCCCGCTGCGCAGCCGCGCCTACAAGTGGTTCGTGCCGCGCGAGGTGTACCCCAACGACACGTACCCGCCCTACTGCGGCGGGCCCGGCTACGTGCTCTCGGGGGACGTGGCGCGCCGCGTGTTCGCCGTGGCGCAGACCGTGCCGCCCATCAACATGGAGGACGCCTACGTGGGGCTGTGCCTGCACGCGCTGGGGCTGCGCGTCCGCGACGGGCCCCCCGGCGCCTTCACCATGTACCGCCTGCCCTACGACAAGTGCCGCTTCTCCCGCGCCGTCATGGTGCACCACTACGGGCCCCGCGACCTGCTGCGCGTCTGGCCCCACTTCCGAACGCCTCCGTGCAGTGTCCCTAGGGCGGGAGCTGCTGGGGCCACTGGGACATGCTGGTGATGCTGGGAACTGCTGGGGTCACTGGGACATGCCGGTGATGCTGGGAGCTGCTGGGGTCACCAGGAGCTGCTGGGGTCACCAGGACACACTGGGAACTGCTGGGGCCACTGGGACACACCAGTGACACTGGGAACTGCTGGGGTCACTGGGACACACTGGTGACACTGGGAACTGCTGGGGTCACTGGGACACACTGGTGACACTGGGAACTGCTGGGGTCACCAGGAACTGCTGGGGTCACCGGGACACACTGGGAACTGCTGGGGTCACCGGGACACCACCAGTGACACTGGGAACTGCTGGGGTCACTGGGACACACCGGTGTCCCCCTCCAGAGATTGTCCCCAGGACCTGCCGGCAGCGCCGGGAACCGCCGGCATCACCGGCCACACGGACTGCGCCCGGTCCCGGCTCCGGAGCAGCCACTGAACTGTTTCTATGGATCGGGATCTGTCCCGTTAATTTATAGCCAATGTTTGTAATAAAAAAGGGCTGGAACCACCCGGAGCCTCGTCCGTTCCTGGATCCGGGCAGGGAAGGGGCCCCCCGGAGGTGGGAACGCCGCGTTCCGGGCACCATTCCCAGTGTTTGCCAGGACGGGCCTCGTCCCAGGCGGCATTCCTGGTGCTTTCCAGGATGTGCCTCGTTCCTGGTGTTGGCACTGGAGCCTAGGGCAACGCATGGACACACAGGCGAGGACTGGAATGGCCCCAAGGGTTTTTAGGAGATGAATCCTCTGAATTTGGGGGGGGCTTTAAGAGAATCCTCTGAATTTTGGTTTCTCTAGAGAAGATCATCCTGAATTCAGGGGTTTTTAAGAGATGAGTTCTCTGAATTTGGGCGCTTTAAGAGACAAACACCCCGAATTTGAGGTTTTTAGGAGAATCCTCTGGCTCTGGGGGTTTGGAGGCGCAGAACGATGCGCTGGGAGTCCAAACCATCCCGGATTTTGGGATTATTCATCTCCACAGGCTCTCCCCTCCACTCCCCCCACTCCCCACCCCCCTTCACCGAGGAACTGAAACCACCAAAGGCGGGAAAATACCGAAAAAAGCTCCTTTTTAACGCACTTCACAAAAGCAGAACGAGGAGGGCCCGGCCGGGAAGAGGCTCCGGAATCGGATCTGCTCCCCCTCCCTTCCCCCACCAACCCTTCCCTCCCCAAACCCAAAAAAAAAAAAAAAAAAAAAAAATCATCAATAATAATAATAATCCTATTCAGACCAAGTCGTCGTGGCAACTACGACCCATTAAATACGGAGGCCCAGGGGCGGCGGCGCGGGGCAGCCGCCGGTGACGGGTCACACAGAGCGGGATGGGGGCGTGGGGAGGGCGAGGGGGTAAAACCGGAGCATCCCGGGGGTCTGGGGGGGGTGGGGACACAAAGAAGGGGGGTTTATCTGTACTGGTAACTCATGCTGTGCTCGTTTCTGCCGTAGCCGCCTTGCGACGCCTGGTAGGAGCTGGGGGGGCCGCTGTAGTTCTGGGAGCCGGGGGAGTTGTAGTTGGACTGGGAGGAGTATCCGCCTGCAGGGAGGGAAAGGGGGGGTTACGATGGAATTCCGACACCGCTCCCGCTGGGATCGGAGCTCGCCCAGCCCAGCCCAGCCCAGCCCACCCCGGGCAGGGGGTGTCAATACTGACCTTGCTTACCTTGGTACGAGGAGCCCCCGCCCCCCGAGCCCCCGTAGCCCCCGTGGGAGCCCGAGTTGTAGGAGCCGCCGCCCGAGTAGTTGTTGCCGCCCCGGCCGCTGTTGCCGCTGTAACCTGGGCAGGGGGGGAGAGGGGCCGTGGTGAGCACGGGCAGGGACCCCCAGAGCACCCCTGACCATCACCCCCAACTGGTCTGAGCAACCCAAGGGCACTTTAAGCTCTCTCTCCCGCCCAGACCCCAAAATTCCAGGAGGATTTGGGTGCGAAGGGACCTCCATCTGCCCCCTGCCCCGGGAACGTGCCCAGGGCCAAGGGCACCCACCCTCTCTGCCCCTCCTCCCCATCACCACCTCCCATCTGGCCCAAAATCCCCATTTTTGCCCCAAAGCCTCCCCTTGGCCCCGGCTCCAGCCCCTGGGAGGGGCAGGAAGGGTCTCGTTGCCCCAACCCCAGCCTGGCCTCAGGGCAGAGGGGTCACCTCAGGCAGAGGGGTCACCTCCAGGGCAGAGGAGTCACCTCAGGGCACAGGGGCCACCTCAGGGCAGAGGGGTCACCTCAGGCAGAGGGGTCACCTCCAGGACCCCACAGCTGGGGGAGAATCAGGCAATAAACTCCCAAAACTCCTTTAGGACCACCGAGCCCACCCCTCCACCCCCACTCACTGTATTTGCTCTCGTAGCTGTAGTCGGAGCCGCCGCTGGGCGAGTTGTAGGAGTTGGAGTAGGAGTAGCCGCCGCCGCCGCCGCCGCCGCCGCCCTGGCCGTGGCCGTAGCCCTTCTGCTTGCCCTGCCCGGGGCCGTAGCCGCCGTACTGGCCCTGCCCGTAGGGCTGCTGGCCCTGGTGGGACGAGTAGCCCGAGCCGTAGGAGGCCTTCTGGCCCCCGCCGTGCTGCTGCTTCTTGCCGCCGTGCTTGGGCGGCGCCGGCGCCGAGTACCCGTCGCCGGACTGGTAGTAGGAGCCGTAGCCGGAGGAGCCGCCGCCGCCGCCGCCCCCCGAGTTGGAGTGGCCGCCGTTGCTGTAGAACTGGCCTGGACACACAGAGAGAGAGAGAGAGAGAGAGAAGGGGTGTCAGGGAGCCCGAGCGGCGCTGCCCGTCCCAGTCCCCCATCCCACTGCCCATCCCAGTCCCCATCCCGCTGCCCATCCCAGCGGGATCTCAGTTATTCCAGTGGGATCCCTGTTATTCCAGCAGGACCCCCGTGATTCCAGCAGGATCCCTGTTATTCCAGCAGGACCCCCGTGATTCCAGCAGGATCCCTGTTATTCCAGTAGGACCCCTGTTATTCCAGCAGTATCCCTGTTATTCCAGCAGGATCTCAGTCATTCCAGCAGGACCCCCATGATTCCAGCAGGACCCCCATGATTCCAAAAGGATCCCTGTTATTCCAGCAGGATCTGTTATTCCAGTAGGACCCCTGTTTTTCCAACAGTATCCCTGTTTTTCCAACAGTATCCCTGTTATTCCAGTAGGACCCCTGTGACTCCAGCGGGATCTCTGTTATTCCAGCAGGACCCCCATTATTCCAGCAGTATCCCTGTTATTCCAGCAGGATCTCAGTTATTCCAGCAGGACCCCCATGATTCCAGCAGGATATCAGTTATTCCAGCAGTATCCTTGTTATTCCAGCAGGATCTCAGTTATTCCAGCAGGACCCCCGTGATTCCAGCAGGATCCCCGTCCAGATCGATCCCAGAGCCCCAACGTGGTCACTCCCACAACGTCCCTCCATTCTCTGCAGCGACTCCAAATCCCAAACTCCAACTGGGACGAGCCAGGAACGCTCCCAAACCCGGGAGAATCCCAATCCTGGGACGAGGAGCATCCACAGCCCTGCCTGAGATCCCACGGAACGGAGACGTCGCTCCACGGCCCATCTTCCCAGAACTGCGGTGATTCCCTCCGGGATCCGAGTTAATCCGGGGTTAATTCCACGTGCTGAGGGTTCCTGAAGCGATTCCCTCCCCGTTGAACCTCGGGGAGTTCTCGTTCCACGGAAAACGCGGCAGATCCAAAACCCAGCTTGTTTCTGAGGAGCAAAAGCCACCAGAGCCTGACTGAAGCCCCAGATCCGGAGAGATTTGGTTAAAAAAGGAGCCCAGGAGTGAAATCCTGCGGGCTCCGCTCCCGGAATCCCGTGGGAACTGACCGGGAAGCCCCACTGGCGGATCCCAGCTCCGCCCACACGTTCCGGGAGCTCCTCGAGGCTTCCAGCGGGATCTGCTATTTCTGGGCTCGTTCCCTCGCTTCTCCTCCACCTCCCCTTTCCCACGGCAGCTTTTCCTTCCTCTTCCGCAGAAAATCCTCGCCAGGCTCTGGAACGAGGTCCCCTCCGGGGCTGGAGCAGAGCCCCCCTCGGGCCATCCCAGGGGAAAAACGCCGGGATCTGGATCCAGACGGAGCACTGGGGGCCCGGAGCGATTCCTGCTGCTCTCCCACATCCACGTTCCTGGATTTCCCTTCTATCCCAGCACTCCAGGTCCGACTCCTCGGCCTGAACGCCGCTCGATGTGGGAGGAGCTGCGGCTTTTCCCCCCCGACCAAAACATCCACCCCACCGGGATTTACCCTTGGGAAGGGCAGCTTTTCCACCCAGGGGAGGGAGTGGGGAGGGGAGGGACCCTAAGGATCGTTTGTGGATCATCCAGGATGGGCTCTGTCCCCTGGAAAAGGAGCCGCTACCTCAAAACAGCACCTTTTTAAAAAGGCATGGATTGTTACTATTATTATTATTATTATTGTTCCTGTTTAAGGGCTCCACTGACCCCCTCAGACTCATTTAATCTCAATCAGGTTGGATATTAATTCCTTTTCCTTCCTTTTCAGGTAATTACGGAATTAACTCCCGTAGGAACCCAGCGATGGCAAAAGGCCAAGTTTTTAACCCAAAACCACCGGAGCACAAAGGACTGAAATGCTCAGGATTTGGGGGGGGACCCAGACAATTCCCAAACTCCCTCGGTTTGGGGGATATTTCATTCTCCAGGGGGTTTCAGCACCTCGGGGGTGACGGGCGGGGCTGGGATGTGGCTTTTGGGGCCCTCCATGCCTGGCTCGGACAGCCCATTTCCATGGTAACCAGTAAATCCATGGATTTTCCCAGGCATCCAACACTGCCCCCTAATGCCAGGATGTTTATGGGATGGGGAGCACAGTGGCAATTCCTTGGTGACTCCAGCACGTTACAAAGGAGCTGCTTTAGCACGCACGGTTCCATGGACAAATCCAAGCATTCCAGGGAAAAACCAGGGAATTCCGCGCACTTAAAAGCCTGGGTTGGACTAGATCCGTGCGGAAAAGTCTTCCCAAGGCCCAGAGGAGCCTCAGGCAAACCCCTGGGATTGATTTA